GCGGCCTTCGGCCCGGGGTTGCAAGTATGCCAAGTACTCATATCATCTGATGTTGGCTGCTGCTCTGTCTGTCTCGAGGTTCCTGCTCTGTCGGCGAGACAGTCGCCCTCGCCCCCAGGCAGCAAAGATGGTCTCTGGCGCACAGAGAGTAATAAGATCATATAACTGCTTGCTGAGTGCTTTGATCGTTGCAATGGTGTGGGCCGCAACCGCGGCGGCTCAAGTCTCCCTCCCTCCCCCCCTCTTTCGCCTTCTAATATCATATGATGTTGGGTGCTGCTCTGTTTGTTCCGAGGCTCCTGCTCCGTCGGCGAGACAGTCGCCCTCGCCCCGAGGCAGCAAACATGGTCTCTGGCGCACAGAGAGCAATAAGATCATCATTATCATCATCAGCATCATCATCACCATCATCACCATCGTCATCTATTTGAACCCTGCTAGGGCTCGGTCCAGCTCTAACGGGATCTTATTAGGCCTTGATCGAACTCTAGTAGAGGCCTATCAGGGCTGGATCCAACTCTAATGACATCCCATTCGGGCTCTAACCAAGCATATTTGATTTAGGTTAGGGCGGGGCCATGCTTTGATCGAATCCCATGGAGGCTTTCCCTGCTGTGAGGACCCGGTCCACAAATAAGTCGCATTAGGGTTGGATCCAGTTCCAGTGGAATCCCTACGAGGGCTGGGTCCAGCTTTCATCGAAATTCACGAGCGCTGGATCCAACTCTAATAAAATATTTCCAAGGTTGGGTACAGCTCTGATGCACCCTGCTACGAGGGCTCTATCCAGCTCAAGTAGTATCCCAAGAGGGCGAGATCCGGCTCACATATGTTCCTGCTGGGGTTCGGTCCAGCTGTTTTGCAATCTTCTATGAGTTGGATCCCGCTCGAATGGGATCTCACCAGAGCCTGATCCAGCCCTCGTGGAATCCTATTGGGTCTGAGTCCAGCTCTGGTAGAATCTTATCAGTTCTGGATCCAGCTCTCGTAGAATCCGGTTGGGCTGGGGTCAGCTTTGGTCGAATTTGGCCCGGTCTCGACCCAGCTCTAATCGAATTTCGTTCGGGCCGGATTCAGCTCCAATAGAACCCCACTGGGGTTGGATCCGGCTCTTGTTGACTTCTACTAGGGCTGGATCCAACTGTGATGGAGTCTCACCAGGGCTGGATCCAGCTCTGATGCATCTTGCTACTAGGGCTCTTTCCAGCTCAAACAGTTTCCCCTTCAGGATGGGTTCAGCTTGGTTCAGCTTCTATGCAGTCCCATGTGAATCGGATTGTGCTTTCATGGGATCTTACTGTCAGCTCTACTGGAATCCAACTAGGGTTGGGTCCAGCTCTGATTGACTAGTATTAGGCTTGGATCCATTTTCAGTAAAATCGTACACGGGCCCAGTTGTGTTCGACTGGCATCGTAATATGATTGGGCCCAGCTTTAATAGGGTCCTTCCAGGGCCTTGTCCAGCTCTCGTAATATCATTTCAGGGTTGGATACAGCCCCAACGGGTCTTATTTTGGCGAATTCCAGCTCCAATAGATTCCTACCTGGTCTGAGATGTTGTTAAACACGCTGGGGGCAATTTTCTTTTGGTTTTTGAGATCGACGTTGTTTTTTTTGTGATTTGGGAGCAGCTTCCTTTCCGTTTTAAGATTGGCGTCTCGCCGTTTTCGGTCTTTTTGGCGATCCATGTTTAGATTGTTTCCAACTGCCGTTTCGTGCTCGTTTTCGTCGCGGCGTAGCAGTGGAGTTCCAGGCCCGTGCAGTTGTTGTTTTGTTTTGGCTCTCCGTTTTGTTTTTGTTTTGGGCTGCCATTGATTTCTGGTTGTGTCTCTGTCTCGGTTTTCCGTTTTTGTTATGTTTTGGTTGGCCGCAGCACCAAAAGTTAAACACGACCAAACAACTAAGCTACTGGGCACCAGGACCGTGCCCAAGTCTAAGAGAATATCATTAGGGCTCTATCAAGCAAGCTCTTGACTAGCATTTCATTTGGGCTGTAACCAGCTCGACCGAATTCCACCAACGTTGGATCGAGCTCTAATCAAACCATGATAGGGCTGAATTTTCTATCATCATATTACGCGGAGTCGATCCAGGGCAAACAGAATCCTACGAGCGTTCGAGCCAGCTCCCGTGGTATCCTATCGTATAGGGTTCGACCCAGCTCTCAGTGAATCTTTTTGGGACTCTTACTAAGGCTCGATCCAGCGCTAATGGAATCGCAATAGGGTTCTATCCAATTTTAATGCGTGTCTACCAGGGCTCGGTCAAGCTATGATGCAATCCTATTAGGGTCCGATCAAGCTCCGATAGAATTTTACGCGGATCGATCCAGCCCTAATAGAATCTTATTAAGGTTCGATCCAGCCTCAATAGCATCCTGCCACAACTCGAGCGTCGCCGTCGTCGTCGTCGTCGTCGTCGTGGTCGGCGTCGTCGTCGTGGTCGTCGTCGTCATGGTCGTCGTCGTCGTCACGCCGTCGTCGTCGTGTCGTCGGCGGCGTCGTCGTCGCTGCCCCATGGTGCCGGCGCCGGCGCAGACGCTCCCCGTTGTCGTTTGCCATTGGCGGAGGGGGTATTGGGGCCGGTTGGACCCGCCCCCCACCCCCTTGCAATTCAGACCACGCCCCCCCGGCGGTTCGAACCCCCCTGTCCTCGAGGGGGTGGACAGGCTGGTGCGAGCCTCCGCCCTTGCAGTCCAAGGGGGGGCGGTTTGAACCGCGCCCCCTGTCCCAGCGTCCACAGAACGCGCTCTTTCGGTGTCGAAGAAGGCGAGGAGGCAGCGGGTCTTTGGCATGGGGGCCTGGACAGCAGGTCGAACCATCGACTCAAGGGGGGGGGGTTATTGTTTGTTTAGTGATATTCGAACTCCCCTGCCCTCCCCGCCCCTTCTCCATCCCCAGCCCAACAGCTGGGGACGTTCGCGGAGGATGATGAAGGGGAGAAGAGGGAGGAGAGGGGACTTGAGGGGAAGCGACTGCTGCGCCAGAGACAACATGTTCCGCTGTTGCTGTGGAAGCTTCGGCAGCCTGACACGGGCGCCGCACTTGGAGATCGAGGCAGAACGTATTGCTTGATTCAGCGCCCAGAGAATGGCATTCTCTGTCCCACGTCGGTCATCAACTCCATTTGGGGTGGTGCATCTCGAAGCGTTTGCACGAGGCCGCTCAGCTGGTAAGCCTATCTGCGAGTTTCATTTCTGTGATGTATTTGATGTGTCACGTGTTTCGGTGTGTGAGTTCCGATTACTTGTAGGGCCCTGGCTGCCCATGGCCGTCGATAGCTCCGCGATAGTTGTGCCATGGTGCCATGGTGGCATCCGTAGTGACTTGTTTGCATGTTGTCGTCTTGTGTGGTCGTGTTGTACTTGTGTCATCGTGGTGTATCTCGCGCAGGTGTCGTGTGGTGTCCTGGTGTCGCTGGTCTCGTGTGGCGCCGTGGCTTTTTGTTGTGACCCGCGTGCCACCACGTGCATCCCCATTCCGTCTCGCCCGTCTCCACAGTTTGGTTAGGCGCCGCTTGAAATGTGGGTTGCGACGTCCACTGGGCCTAATTTGAGCGTCGTTGGGGCACGATTTTGAGCAGATCTGCTAGTGCTTGCAGAAGGTTAGCCAACGAATTGGGCCCGCCGACCTGGTCATGCGAAAACGGCACAACAGTGAGGCAGCACTTCGGCCGCGCGCCTGGGCGTTAGTCAGAGCCTGGTCGCACAGGCAAGGCCATTGTTGAAAATAACAACTGTCGCTGGCAGGGGCACGCAATTCTCGAGCTTGGAAAAACACGGCCTTCTTTCGCGCATCGGCAGCAGACACAGACTCGGAGCGTCCAAGTCAGGAACACGTTCGCTTCCGCACGCGAAGCCGGGCACTTCATGCAATGGGAAGTAGGTGGGCAGTGGGCCTGCTAAGGATCACCAGGTCAGTTATCGGGGCAGTGGGTCTGCTAAGGATCACCAGGTCAGCTACCAGGGCTTTGACATTGGCAACGACTGGGCAGACCTTCACCCTGAGAAACCTCTTGGAAAACCCATGCTGAGCTAGTCCCCCCCCGAACAGATTTGGCCGTGTAGCTGATTTACGGAGGACTATGTAGGGGCACCAGAGTTCATTCAGGCTCTGCCTTGTTGACAATGTGTGCGAACTTTCTATCCATCCAGCCGTCCCCACTGGAGCCGACGGGCGGCGTCCGAGAGTTGGCGTGGCGGCCTGCAGCCACGGCTGCAGCGTGGAGGGCCGTGTGATCCGCTCCATCAGCTTCGTCGCGGCGGGGCCGTTCTGGGGGTGTCTTTCTTGTCTCAAGTGGTCTTCGAACGCCAACGACGCAATTCAAGAATCGCCAGCAGATGCGAGGTATCTGTTGGAAACGGGGATGATATGAACGAGGATGACGGGATGAGTTACAGAGCACTCAGTTTTGTCTGAACACAGTCTTCAGTCATTTCCCCATGGAGCGCTGTCCGTTCAATAGCGAGCGCCGTTGGTCTAACACGAGTCTCTGCCAATTTAAGGAGGACAGCACCTGCTGTTTGGCACACTTACAGTCAACATCGTTTCTGTGGGCTTGCGGCCTTCAGTGGCGCTCCTCGCTTGTCTCGGAGCAGGCCGCGGTTGTCTCGGAGCAGGCTCAGTCGTTCTGGCAGGTTGTTAGCCCGAGGGTGCCGCACCGCCAGCATCTCGCGGCTCGGGCTCGGAGACGGACGGAGCATGTGGTTGCGTGTGGCCCCCCGAGGCCCAGAGCATGCTCCAGGAGATGAGGTGGCGGCTCCGCGGTGGATCAGGCAGGCCCAGGATGAAGCTATAAGCCAGATCGCTCCAGAGCGCTCTGACAAGGCCGCGGCACCCAATACATTCTCCATATCGCCAGGTCTCAGAGATTCCCGAGTTGCCTTCTTCCGAATTTATCGTCATCCTGCCTTCGTTCACTCCCCTCTCCAGAGAGCTCAGCAGCCTTGGCCGCGCCTCCCTCGGCTGAAACTGCCCCCCCCCCCCCCCTGCTGCTGGAAGGCGGGGCCTGCGCCCCGACGGGGCCAGCTACCAGAGGCTGGTGTGGGCGCACTGCGCGGCTGCCGACCTCGCCGGGGCGGAGGCCGCGCTGCTGGAGCCACGCCGCCGCGCCGCCGCGAGTGTGGTCTCAGGGAGCGCAGCGCTCGGGAGGCAGCGCTCAAGCGGAAGAACGGCGACGTATCGCAAGGCGTTCTCTGAGGGAGGCAGGGAGGGGACCGCCCCGCAGCATCTGACGAGAGTAGTTGCCCGCCGTGCCCCGCGGGCGGTTAGCAGAGAGCTGATTACGCAGGGAGTCGCTGTGCGAGCGGCTCGGCATCAGAGAGGGTGCATCTGCTTGCACGTGTGTGTGTGGCGGCGAATGGTGGTGTTCTTGCAGGAGGGGCCTCAGGGGGGAGATGGCGCCCGCCCCCCTCGCGAAGGAGATGCGCGCCGCCCGCTTCAGCCCAGACAAGCAGTGCTACCACAGCCTCGCGCGGGCGCTCGGCAGGGGTGGCTCCCCGGAGGACCGCCGGTGCTCTGAGAAGTGAGCGTGTCAGCTGTACCTCTTCCAAGCTCGGAGCGGTTTTCGGGGCTGGCTTACGCCCTGTCTGTGGATGGCCAGCTCGAGCCCCGCGAGCCCCGTTGGCTGCTCCGGCGCGCCTGGGGTCTGGAGCGCGAATTGGCGCGAGGATTGGTAACCATGGTTGCGATTGCCCCTCTTCTTTGGGGGGGGGTTCTTGGTTTGTCGTAGGCTCTCGTGGGCAGAAAACAGATCCGTATCATATATCTGTGTCCTCGGCCTTGCAGGGCGGGCCCCTGGGCCGCGACCCCGTGGATACGGGGCGATTTTTCACGGACGCCCCTCTCGCGGAATGTATCCATGCGACCGCGTATCAACGGGGTCGCGGCCCAGACTTCGGACCGCGAGATCGTACATATGGATACGTTAGCCGTTCGTGAGGTTCAGAGGGAGTCGTGGCGTATGAGGGGGAGGGAAGACGGGCAATAAGATGAGCGCAGTCGCAAACGTTAACAGGGCCGGCAAGGCCGGAGCGTGCACTACGTAGCAGATCAGGAGGACAGACGTATCCTCCCTTGCCGACGAGGCACTGGGCAAGGGGGGTTGGGGTGGTCGTAATCGGTGCTCTGTGCCGCTAGGCTGCCACCTTGCTATGCAAGCAATTGCTTTCGCTCTGTAGCTGGATGTGTCATGTCGGTCCTACCGCATTGTGTCGGTCCACCCGACGCTCTACACCATCATATTCTGATCGCCGAGGGCGCAGCGGTGCAACTGGCTGGCTTCTCGGGCTACGCCCTCCGTCCCTTGTTTGCGCGTGAAGAACTGTTCGGGCCTCGTACCGCAATAGTTCTTTCGAATACACATGTGAGCAAGCCTGACATAACGTGAAACGGTGTTGCGTCCCCTCGCCAAAGAGCAAAGCGTATCGAGTCCAACTCATCGAGGAGCTGTAAGAATTTACTCTGGGAGCGTGTCGGCGACATCCGCAGGATGCGGAAGCGGTTGCTGACCTCCGTGCCAGTCGACGAAGTCACGATCGACCGCGGCTCACCACGGCACCATCGCAGCCCAGGCAGCCAGCCTCACTCCGCAAGCACGAGCGGTCTGCTGCTCATTACAAAGAAGAGTGTCAATGCGCGTGCGATACGCAGATCGTGAACCAGTGAACCAAATTCTCGTGTCGAGTCCCAGACAGGACCTCTCAAGAAGCTCACGGTCCTTCTTGACGTGATTGCGGCGCACACCGCCACGACTATCGACAGCGCGAACCACACGTTACACCGCGAATTCACCGATCTATTCGCCAATGTGGGCCCGTCTCCGGCCTGGAGACGGATGTGCACAGAGCGCTGGCGACGTTCGGCTCTCCCTCCACCAATGATCGGATCGCCAAACTCTAATTATTGATCTGTTGAGTTCACGTGAGGATCGGTGCTGACACTGCGCTTGGCCGCTAGATGAGGCGACAGACCACTTGGGCAATTGCTGCGCACGCTGCCTTGCGTGACCCCCTCGACGAGCTCTCCTGGCAAATATTGTGATTACGTTGTGGGTGCACCCCGCTAATCTTGCACACCGCCTTAACGACGATGATGCCACGCAATTCCTTAACGGCACACTGCATGTGCGACGACAATCGTTGGGGTTGTGCCCACCTATCCTCCAGATTATGTGTTTCCCAAGGCGACATCTTCGAGCAGACATGATCTTCCGCATTCCCCATCGGGGCAATGTGCCTTTTCCGTGAGTTGAGTTGATGGTGGCGCAGAAAAGACATTGATTGCCGAGGCCAATGGTTGAGTGCCACTTCGCAATCTGTGTGTACATAGATATGTATATACATACACGTATACACATAGCACCATAGCGCCGCCTAGGATGAAAGAGCCGCTGTGTTTGCTCAGTGTCCACGCTCCTTTCCTTGCCTGGGGGCGCCTGCGACGTTCACCTTCCGAATGTGCCGCGTCTTTCCAACCCGTACTCTCTGGACGTGTTGTGTTGGTGAGCTTTTGCATGGAATGCATCTTTATAGGTGGTTCGAGTACCAGTCCTCGATGGACCAGTGCGGCAAATAATGGCAAGAGCAGACAATGTAGAACATCGTGACTGTCGCCAATCTCACGTCAATGTGGCACCCCGTCAATGCAATACTCTGTGTCTGATCCAGTGCACTCATTGCTTGATGAAGTTCCCTCCCACAAGACGATGTCGACGCTCAGAAGTAGAGTAGCTCTCAGTGTTGGCTTTCCCCGTGATCTCCACGGGCACAGACGCAGAGCGTGAGTGAGCGAGCCACCCATGGGAGTCGCAAGCGACGCGGGCTCGTGGAGTCTAGGGCTGGTCCGCGATGTTCCAGGCTTGTGCGAAGACTGGGACAGCCCCGGAGGCGCGAAGTAGGATCGCGCTTTCTGGTCCTGCCTTCTTTTCCCGTGTCCCTGCTTGCTTCCCCCTCGAGGCTGGAATTTGAGCGCGCTCTGCGCGGCGCGAAGCGAAAAACTGCTTCGCCGAGGTGATTCCTTCGCCAGGTTCGAGACCGTGCCGCGGATTTCGGGTTGCGGATTGGCGGGAGGTGCGAAGGGTTGATTGGTCGCGCCCTCGTTTGGGCAGACGGCACGAGGCCAGCGCAAAAGCAGGTAGTTCAGGATTGCGTATGAGGCTACTGACTACAGGCCATGAGACGCCCAACACGGGGGTGACGGCTGACGTATATTTCCCTACCTAGGCTCTGCCCAGAATTGTTCTTACCGTGCAAGCTTAAGGGGCCGGGAAGTGGGAACCGCCCCGGGCGGTTCCCCCAGGATCCGCCCCGTGGTTCCCCCAGTGACGTCCCCTTAGCTTAGCGTTGCGTATTTCATCTTAGCTTAGCTTAGCTTAGCTTAGCTTCATCTTAGCTTAGCTGTAGCTTAGCTGTAGCTTAGCTGTAGCTTAGCTTAGCTTAGCATAGCATAGCATAGCGCAGCATAGCATAGCATAGCGCAGCATGCCACAGCATAGCATAGCATAGCGCAGCATAGCATAGCATAGCATAGCGCAGCATAGCATAGCATACCATAGCCTAGCATAACATGGCGCAGCCTAGCGTAGCATAGCATAGCGCAGCATAGCGCAGCATAGCCTAGCATAGCATAGCATATCATAGCATAGCATAGCATAACATAGCATAGTGCAGCATAACATAGCAAATCAAAATCAACACCAAGCAAAAGCAAAAACAAACAAAAGCAAAGGCAATTACGACGATGACGAGAAGGAGGAGGACGGCGTTTACCGTTACTACTAATGCTGCTTTCCTAGGGGCTCCAACTCCTAGGTAGGGTCGCACTGGGGTAATTGGCTTTTAAGCTAGCTTGCAGCATATTAGTGAGCTTGGGTACGGAGTGATGGGGTTGCAGTAGGTCCACGCCCTCCCAGGGCATTTCCTTTCTCATCCGCATCGGCGTCCTATACTGGTTGTCCTGGCTAGTACGCATGTCACATTGTACGTGTTGTGTGCGCGCGCGTGCGTGTGCGTGTGTGCTCATATTTGATGTTGTTGCCCATGCGACTGTCAATATTGTGCTCGCAGCGCAGTGGCATCCAACTCTGACTCTAGTGCAATTTAAGCCTTGACGCCCCCTGCCCGCCCCGCCGCTGCAATCTCCAGGGCGACGCTGCCGTAGCGCGACGCGTGTGCGCCGACATGCAGGCGCCACCGCCCACATGAGGGGAGGGTGGTGGCAGGGAAAGAGAGATGGTTGAAATGGGCACGGGTGCAGCGGTGTCGGGGGTGTGGAGGCGACAAGTGCGGCAAGCATTGCTTCCCCTAGGCCACTCGAGCTGCCATTGCACTCGCATTGGTTCCCGTGGGGGACCGGACCATGCTGCGGGCACTTGCCCCGCCGCCGATTGCCGCCTCGTCACGCGCTGTTCCCGGCCACTCGGCTCAGGGCCCTGCACTGCATTTGAGGCACTTGCTGGTGAAGTGGAGGGGGGCTACAGGACTGGCTCCGCCCAGAGCTGGCCAAAACCCATTCGGGGCTTCACCCGACACCAGACCAGGAGAGGAGGAGGAGTAGGAGCAGCAGCATGAGGCGGGGGTGAGGTTGACAAGTCGGAGGAAAAGGGGGCGAGGGCGAAGGATGTAGCCGTTGCGAGACCCAGGTTTCCTGACCTACTCGGCTCTTTTCTATCCGCTGCTCCTTGTGATAGTATGTCGATGCAATGCTGTACGTAGCACGCATGGCGGAGCCTTGAAGCCGACGGAGTTGTGCTTGCTTGCGTTGGGCAGTTTTCGCTAAACGTATTTAGTCGAGCTTCACAAGCGCGTAGAAAAGCGAAGTTCTGCGGTGGTATTCGGCCATTAGTTGGTTTCTCCCCCCTTTGACACGGGGTCGCTTTCGGGGTGAAGGATCTCTCTCCTGGGGTCCTCGCAAGGACGCCTGGGCACCCCCTCTCTCCTATCCGTCCTTCCCACCTGATCACCCTCATGCTTCATTTGCTTTTCCTCTTCCCGCTCATCCCGCTGCTGACCATCCCCCACGTAGCTTGCGAACAAGGTTGCTGCCCCCACAGGCTCCAGCCCGAGGGCTAGCCTGCTGAACCCCAACCGAGAAGCACTCAACCCAAGCGAATTGGCCTGCATCTGAATAGGGCGGCACCACGAGAGAAGCCACGACACCAGGTCTACGAGAGTTCGGGTGCTTGTTTCTGCACAGGAAGTCCGTTCAGATCACCATTATATCCCTATATATATATATACTGCTGCCGTCTCGGCTCAGGTACTGGAAACAGGTACAGCGCCGCCCGCCCGCGGCGCATGGGAAAAAAGGGATCGTTACCCTCTCCTTGCCTTCCTCTACCTACGGGGAACCTTGTCGGTTCGACTCTTCGGTTGTCAACCTACATACACAGGTTATCAGCCTATTCTTTTTCGCTCTCCGTTGTGACACCCCGCTTCGTCTTCGACTCTGCCGCAAGGCGCTGGATCCCACGGGGACCAGTGCATCTATGCGTGCAGGGTCTTCGACGGAATGCGGGCGTCGCGACGCCGCGGAGAGGGTAAAAAGGACGGGCAATACCGCCATCCCCCCTTTCAGGCGACGGCAGCGCCGCCGCGCTCGAGGCAGCGCTCGGGGACCTGATGGACTCCGACTCGCCTCCCGCGCTGGCGCTATGACTTTCACACGCCTGGGTTCGGACAGTATGCCTCGGCACTTGATGCGTCCCATACGTCTCCTGGCGCCACGTTTGGTTCGGAACCCTCGCCGGTGGAAACACCAGCAATTGCCCTCGGAACCACAGATGGATTTGCCTCGCCTCCTTCTCCTCCAACCTTCGCCGGTGGAAACACTCGCGGTGGTGGCGCCAATGAAACGTCTCCCCAGAGCGTTTCCGCGCGACGCCGCCGCTGGGACGCACGGCGCCCCGTGAGCCCCGCCGTGGTTTCCGCTTCAGAACATGCGCGAGTCATAGAGTATCGCATTGGACGGACTTCACAGCGAAAAGTCCCCGAGCGGTATCATATTTAGTCTCCCAGCAGGGACAACAGCCGCAGCCCCTCCCGGAGGCGTTCACAGCAAAGTTCTTTCCAGCGCGACATCGCGCCGCACGCGTCGCCCTGAGCCAGTGATCTGGCAGAGCTTAGAGACCGGTTCGAAACTTGCACGACCCAGCTGTTGTCGGGTCTTGTTGCGCAGAGCAGCGCTGAGGAAAGAGCTCCGCAACGCCCTTGCCTTCGTCGAAGCTCGGATCGCCGAAGATCGATTGATCCCCGCCCAGGTCCAGTGTTTACTCGACCGCGTGGACTCACGCCGAGGGTCCAATTCCATTGCGACCCATGCGCTGCACGACTACCTCCTCGCAGCGGAGGCCCAACTCGTGAGCGTCATAGATGCACGCGCTGCTGCTGTCAGGGCACTACACGATGAGCTCCTGACAGCGCGGCAGGCTCCAGCTACCAAGATACACGGGGCTACGGATCAACAGTTGCGCGATGACCTCATTTCGCTTCGGGATCACGTTGACGCGACCACTGCCAACCTCCATTCCGAGAATACCGCAACCACGTCCGGCTTGCACGGCAAGCTGTGGAATGCCGAGATGGCTCTTGCTTAACGTCTCGATGCGTCAGAAGGACGCGTGCCAGCGCTTGAAAATCGGTTCTCCACGGTCGAGCAGCAGCTACTTGACGTGCAGGCTGCACTGGCTGAGTTGCATGCTGTGCGGGCCCAGACTTGCCAGCTGGGCACCCCGACTTCGGTCCGCGATGTCGCCCCCCTCGCTGAGGAAATTGCCGATGTAAGAAGGTGGCGGGCCACGCGCAGTTACGACTCACCCAGATATCCCAGGAAAGAGACGCTGAAACGGCACAGTCGGGGGAAGTACTCGCCCGTTTGGAACTAGAGCGCGAAGCACACAACCGACGATTCCAGGACCTAGAGCATCGGCTGGACCAGTACCCCCGGCGAATTTATGACACCAGCGGCGAGGCACGTGGTCCACGACATAGCGTCGAGGAGTTACAGGGGGATCTTACAACCACCGAGGCTACCCTGAAGGCTCACGTTAGCGACGCCGAGATCCACTGCTCTTCGCGACCTCCAGAACCCACCGCAGACAGCGCCTCGACCCTCGCCGATGGCAACATCCGCGCAAGACAACCGCGACGCACGTCACCAGGAGCGGCCTCTGCAGCAGCCTCAACAGACACGTCGCGTATCTCCTGTGCGCGCACCATCGCCGACGCCACCAATCCCGTCACTTAATATATCACATCATTCTCTTGGTGGCACCACCCAGATCCAGGAGTCAGACACTGCGCGTGCCCCCCAACTGCCGCGCGCTACTCAGTTACAGGACTGGCGACAGATGGTCAGGGGCAATTTTGGCAGCGCCTCCGGGCGACCTGCCATGACATGCGCACTTCATTGTGTTGCCGAACAACCTGTTTCTACATTCGAGGACCTACAAGACAGTGGCGACTGTGAGAGCGCCGGTTGCATGCTTGCCTCTGAACTTTCGGCTCCTCTCAAAACTGAGCTCCGACGCAGAGTGAGGAACCTCGAAGCTCGGAGGCGCGAAGCCGGCCGCGCGGTGAAAGGTAGACAGATCTGTTGGACCACACTGCAATCCTACAAGGTCACTGACGTCGACGACGCGACGCACGCTTTTGAACGTCTACATTTTATTCGCGCGCGGGGCAACGATCTTTAACGGTTTATTGTGGACCGGGGCAGTTTTTATTCTTGGCATGCCGTGATCCACTGGGCGCGAAGATACTCGAGTCATTGCTCCAAGCTCAGATCCGCAGCCGTCCGTGGACGACGCAAGACATGCGCGACTACAACGAGATGAAGTCGAATGACCCCTATCGCACCAACGAGTGGTTTTTGGCCAACGTCGAAAGCACCGACTCGAACGCATACGGCGCGACCTCAGGAACGAGACGACTCTTCGCGAATTGGTCGCGCGCGCAGCATGCGGGGCAGGTCGCTGCAACATCGGCGAACGATGCTAACTGCTACGTGCTGGCTCTGGCAACCGCGACCGCGACCTCGCGGGCGCGCGGCGCAGGCCGACGCGGACGCCCGCGAGCAGCGATCTCCCAAAGAGCGAGGCGCACGACGGCCGCCCACGGACGGAGGTGCCAATAACTTCTGTTTCTCCTTCGCAAAACACGGCACCTGCCCGCGACAAGACCAGCGCAGATGGCCTCATCGCAAAATTCAGTTTCTTCGCCGACCCAGGCAACACTGCAGGCAAGGCAGCGACTGCCGCTGCGCCCGCATCGCGTCTGACTCCGAGACCCCCGAGAGGAGCCCTAGCCGCGCCTGCAGTCAGGGCAGCCGCGACGGGGCGCCCTCCCCCGGACGTGCGCAGGGCAATCGACACTCCTCGCGCGGGGGGGGGCCAGGGCCCGCGGAGTCCGGGGGGCCGCGGGTGGATTTCTCAGGTTGCGATGGATTTGCGATGGAAGCCGCAGCGCCCGCAACTGCCCCGCCCCCCCTCGCGGGGCGGCAGCCGCGGACGCTGTTGAGGACGTTCGCGCGGCGATGGCAGCGGCGGCAGCGAACGGGCGCCTTCGACAGGGACCGACCCCCTGCAGCGACGCGATGCGTTGGGCGGTGAGACCGAGCGCGCGCGATCCGCGAACAGACTGTGGTCATCGCAGACCGACGACCGCGGCGCCAACGTTTCGATCTCGACAACATTGACGTCATCTCCTACCCTGTGCCCCAGCGGCAACTGGCCAAATTGCGCGCCTTGGCCAACGAGGGCGACCCCGTTGTCGCGCCCGACCCGCTGCCGGACAGGCGGCTGCAGGACGGCGCCGCGGCGCTTCGCGCCTGCCAGCTCGAGGCGCAGAATTGGCGCGTTGGCCTTGCCACCCCAACCAGACTTACCGCGGCGCCAGCCCTGCCGCCCGACGGCGGCCCGGCGTCGGCGACAACGCCCGCGACCGCGTCTACCGCGGCGACGCGGTCCACTGCGGCGTTGTCACGGACGCGGATATCGGGCAGTGGCTCCGCTGGCCACACCCAGGACAAGGCCGACCTCGCACAACAGAAAACGACTGACGTCCACTTGGGGCGCGACCACGTCCTGGAAACAGCTGGCGGCGACAGGGTCGCCAACAAGCACATCCACCTTAAGCTGCCGCGCATTGGATTAGCCAGCTCAGCCCCTGCGCTGCATGACTGCCCATCGGTACTATCTATGGGGCAATTGTTGCCAGACGACGGCTTCCGACAAATCTGGGATCCTCAATTGGTTACTCACTACAGGACCCACGCGGTCAATGGTGCAGGGTTATTGTAAATGCCCGCATCCCAGAGCTCGACTTCAACAATATTGAACGGATTTCGCCGCCTCAGTTGCGCGCCGCGCCGCCAGCGTCGCGACGTTCGCGGCGCGCGCGGCAGAATGGACACGATGTGTCGAATATTTTATTGTGTGCATGTTGCGTGGATTATGCCATTGCGCCGGTGGGCACGCCCGCGTCTGCGCCCCTTGTGAGCGACGCGACGCGATGTGCTCCTGCGCTGGTGGACACGCCCGCGCCCGCGCCACCTGTGCGCGATCTGACGTTTTGTGCCTTGGCGCCGGCGGGCGCGCCCGCGTCCACGCCCCGCGTGAGTGACCTGGCGCCTTGCGCCCCTGCGCCGGTGGACGCGCCCGCGTCTGCGCCGCCAGCGCGCGACGCGACGCTGCCCGGCCGACTTCGGCCGCCCTCGGACCCCGTGTTTCACGTCTCTCACAGCCCGAAGGCCGAGAAGACAACGGATACCGCTAGGACTTCCATGCCTGTCGCTGCTGTCGCCTGCCCTCGTTCTCCCTCTCTCGGCCCCTCCGTCCGCTTGCGTGCGCGTGTTGTCAAAGATCTCGCACCATAGCTCATGGGGCTCGAATCGTCTGAGACTCTGTGCATTGCGAAATTTGTGGGGCGGCTCGATTGCGCCCGATGTGCCGCTTCAGGGATATCTTCAGTCAACATTCCCGTCGTGGCAGGATCGGCCGGGCGACAGTCCCACGCCGGCGCGGCAACCTGGCGCATCTATCTCCACGGGTGACGCCAATCATCCTCCGCGCCCACCTGCCGTGACCGATGCCGAGGGGCCCTGTGAGTCTCAAGGGCCCAAATCTGACCCAGGAAGCTCCGCGTGTGCTGCCGCCCGCCCCCGCTCAGGAACAAATCGTCGAAGTGCTCCGTGCTGATAGCGATGATGCCCTGCGGGGCGATGAGAGGGCCGCGAAGCAGACGGCCCTTGTGGAGCAGACCAAGCAGATCATGGCCGAGCATCCTGGCACTGCCTCAGCACGCCAATCTCGCGGAGACATTGCGATGGGCGGTCTCCCCGATCAGATGGCCGGTAGGGGATGCGAATCTCTGTCCGCCGATCTGGCCACCGATAACGCTCGCGCGATCCCTGATCAGGCCCTCCACGATCTCGGTCGCGAGTTGAGCGCCGGTGGAAACGCCCGCGAGCGGATTGAGGCACTGGCCCAGGCAGGAGCACTCGAAATTCAGACGGACACAATAGCTTGCACCGGCCTTCTTGCCAATTTCGATGAGCATGTCTGCAAGATGCGTGCGAACGCTCTCCAGATGGGCGAGGCGGGTCAGGCAGGGCCGCGCGACCTCGGCGCAGCTCAGCGCGAGGCATCGCACTGCTGCGACTACTGCGGGGGGCAAAGCCTTCGGCAACGGGAATGTTCCGGTCACCGACCCCCGCACTGCCCCTTTGCCCTCTCCTCCACCGCCGCGTTGCAATGGGCCTGCCATGGGCGCGGCCCCCCATGCGGGCGCGGCGTCTTCCGGCGGCCCTGCTCCGGGCCGTGCAGACTGGGGCGGTGGGGCTTCAACAGCTGCCGCGCCGATCGCCGCGGGGGCGCGGAGGCCGATTGCGCCGCCGCGCCCGCTGGAAGGCTCGCAGCTTATGACCAGCAATCGCGATCGGAGCGGCGCCCGCAGGGCGCTCCCAGAGGCGCGGCGGCGCTACGACCTCGAGCGCTATCGCGACAACACATGCCGCGACTGGTCGTGGTAGCTGAGCAACTGGACCTAGATCGATGAGAACAAGTGTGAACATATTTAGGTTGATGATATTGCTACTTGCGCGGTTGGACAATGCGACAATCGTAGCAATCGTATTTGGGACCCCGCATAGTGTGACCAAAATATGTGTCGTTGATTGATTTGCTGTTGCTATGAATTCTTTACGTATATGTTGGTAGTCGTCTCGCATTGTTATCTCGACTTCCATATGGCAGCATATCGTTACCTATGTTTCGGCATTGTGGGCATAAACGTACCCTGGCAGGTCGCCCGCCGCTCGCGCATGACACTTTGGGCGACAGCAAGGGCATGAACGCACCCAGGTAGGTCGACCGTCGCAAATATATACAAGTCATGGGTTGTCGGACACACAGAGTACGACATGTGCAAAGCATGATTCTTATGACTCTTCTTTGGGTCCCCCTTTTCACCGCATTTTCTGATGGCAATCGCATCATTTGGGGGCCTGGACTGCCTCGCGCACGACGTCATAGCATTGTTTATTTGATCCGTTGTCGTAGCAATTTTGCCCCAAGACCAATTTGGCTTGGGGCCTGGAGTGCCCCGTGGATGATTATTCTTTCAGCATGCTTCAGACAATTGTCGTCGCAACTTTGATCACAATACCCTTGAGTTCAGAGCTTTTGGTTGCTATGCGCCCGCACAATTTGAATTCTTTTGCACGCGATGTATTGCTTGCCGGTGGAAACGTCCGCGTCTGTATCTTCGACGCGGCATCGCTTTCCAATTCTTCCATCCCTTGTTCCCCCAAGTTCGTCACCCGTGCAGACGGGGGGTGTCCAGGTGTGCCAGGGGGTTTTTTGGGGGCGCACCCTGGGCCCGGTAAAGGCGGGTAGACTCCCCCAAGCACCCTGTGCGACGTGGTTGGTACCCTTTTTCTCTCACCTAGCTGGGACGGCCTCGCTTGGACGCCGCATGGGGACGCAATGAAGAGTCGAGTGGACTTCGCACCTTTGATCTAGAGCCCCGCCTTTGCTTCCCGTGGGCCCGAGGCCCACGTGGAGCGGGCGAGATTCGGGACGGTGCGCGTGTGTGTGTGTGTGTGTGTGTGTGTGTGTGCGTGTGTGTGTGTGTGTGCGTGTGCGTGTGCGTGTGCGTGTGCGTGTGTGTGTGTGTGCGCGCGCGTGTGTGAAGTTCGTTCACGTCATCATTATATCCATATCTACAGTTTCCGTTTCGGCCCTGGTACTGGAAACAGGTACAGGGCCGCCTGCCCGCGGCGCATGGGACATGGGATCGCTACCATCCCCCTTTACCTTCCTCTACCTGCGGGGAACCTTGTAGGTTCGACTCTTCGGTCGTCAACGTACACGCGCAGGCGGCAGCCTAGAAGACACGCGCAGCAGCGCCATACCTCATACCACACTGTATAATCGTGAGGCGTGCAGTGTTCTTTCCCGGCCCGCTGGCAGCACCGCCGTCCAGCCGCTGATGCTGTCCATGACTTGTGGTTGTCCATCACCTGTGGCTGCGAAGGCGCAGATCTCCAAACAGATACTGATCATTCTTTTTTCATCCCCTTGCTCTTCGTCTCAACCTAGTCCGGAGATGCGGAACGGAACATCACATTCGCGATCCTGGTTTCGATGTGCGTTTTGGATGAGGACGATCATATAGTTGCAATACCCAAAATCACACGAGGGAGGAAACTACAACGGAAAAAAGGAGGTGCAGGAGTAGGAGGAGGCGGAGGAGGAGGAGGAGGAAGGGGAAAATAAATACGAAACGAAAAAGGCAGAGGAGGATGAGGAGACGGGGGAGGAAGAGGAACAATAGCATGCGCGCCAAACCGCCAATGTGGAATGTTTTGTTGGGTAAGTATGCCCCTTTTTCCCTTCCTCGGTTGAGCCAAGGCCGACTCCGTCAAGCCCGACGTCTGGCTGGGTTGCATGTTCGTGCGAACGCTGGTGCAGGGTGGCGACCGCGCAAGCGCCGACAAGGCGGACGTTTTTTTTGCCGACTTCGGACATGGGGACGGTTGCTTTTCTTGTTTGTCCCGCCCTGGCGGGGGCACGCTGGCCAGCTTGTGCGTGCGGTTTGTGTGGCATTTGTCAGGCTCCCGTCTCGTGCCGTGCCGACATGTTGCGATTTTGCCGTTGGCGACCTATCCTCTAGCCGACTTGCCGAGCGACCGACCCCGTGCGACAACAATTGCCCTCGCCTCACGCCGCCGTCCGCAGTCCTTTCGACTCTCGACCGGGATGGCACTGCAGGCCCTCAAGAGGCCAGCCGGACCTGGCCGAAAGGTCGTGGCAGACGACCGCCAGAGACCCGAGGCAGCTTAGAAGTTCTACCCGCGAGGAGGGGCGCGCAGCCGAGCCGAGCTGCCTTTTTGCTCTGCCCCGTGGGACCTGCGCGCCCGGGCCTAACGCCAAGAGGTCGTTGAGGCCCGCCCGCCCTTCTCGCCAGGTGGTCGCGTACATGCGGGACCGCCACGTCGAGCCCGACCAGAGGGTGCTGGCCGAGCTCGCCGGCCGGCCGCCGCGAAAAGTGGCCTCTGCCAGGGCCGCGCCCGCGCGTCGCGCGAGCTGTTCGCCGCACGCGCGAGCGCGCGCCGCTCCGACGGACTCTGCTCGTGGGGACCCGTGAAAGGGGCGTGCGCGGGGGGGGGGCTGGTCGCGACAGGCCGGGAGTCTGCCAGGCGGGGGGGAGGATCAGCGTTGGCGGGGGAGGTGTGCCCCACTCGTCTTCGCGTTCGCTTGTTCGTTGGCCCGTCGATGCCAGAAGCGGCCTGACAGACCTGCCAGGATCGCTTCCGAGAGGGGTCTGGGCACCGAGTCTGGAGGCGTGTGTGAAATTACCAGAGTGCCGCCAAGCCGGTTGGGGCTCAAGAGGATGCCTGTTTGGCCGCCCCCATGGCCGCCTATTGAACAATTTCCAGACCGTGCCCGCTGTGTTTTATGGCCCGTTATATGTTAAAAGAGCCGTCAGGTTGTGTTGATATGTTTCAGCGCCTATCGCTTATGTGTACTTTGTTGCCTGATGTAACTGACCATTGAGGTTACAACCTCATGCACTGTTCAATGTTTCCGCTCCTGTACCCATTCGGGAGATGGGCGGACAATCATAAGTGGACAGGGATCGACATAATCAGATTTTGAAAAGGCCGACTCGCCAACGTCTGTCGAGATTGCGCCCCCAGCCAACTGCGCGGCATTCACGAGTGCGAGTACTTACCGAGTCGGGCGATGCCATCGTCGTCGTCGTCGTCGTCGTCGTCGTCGTCGTCGTCGTCGTCATCGAACGAGTCACGAGTGAGGTTTATGTTCCGTCATACAGCTCATGGGTGGAAGAAGGAGAGGCAGCTGCTGCTGCCACTGCCTACCCACGGGCGGCGATGGCGTATCTCCACAGGCTGTTCGTACTGATTCCCGGGCGCCTGTCTTCACAGACTTGTCACAAGCGACAAAACGCGACCTGGAGGGATCCGGAACGGACCTCGCGTTCGAGGGATCAAGAATTTAGATTCTCTGATTCGGTGGACGGGGTGACGGGATGCCAGACAGAGGCTGGTGACAACTAGCGGAAGCAAAACGAGGGCGGCTCCGAAGTCGCAAGCCAGAGAAGGACCAGTGGCAGCCGTCGGAAGCGAACGTCTCCGTCTCCAAAGTTTCCCCCGAGCGGTCCACCTGGAGCAAGAACCGTACCGTGACAAGCGGCTCCAGCAGCGTCGGCGACGTTCAAGGAGTTTGTATTGCAGATGCGGAGTTATTCTGAGTCAAAGTGACTGCCACGTCCTCGGCTTTTGAGTTTGTATCGAAGACGCCTACGGCGAATCACCGCCACCCCCTGCCCTTGGGGAAGCGCCTATGTGTCCGACAGCTGGGCTAGAGCTTGGCCGAGCTATCGGACCATGTGTTCCCCGAGTCGGTTTGGAAAGGTTTCGGGGAACGCGGGGGGGAGGAAGGGGAGGAGGAGGAGAAGGAGGAACAAGGAGAAAGGGAGGATGCCTCTTCGGAGCCTCTTGAGGCACTCTTGGCCTCGATTGGGCCATCTTGGGGCCGTCTTGGAGACCATGTTGGGGCTATCTTGGGCTCTCATGAGGCCTCTTGAGGGCCTCATAGGGCCATTTTGGGGCTTCTCGGGGGCTTCTTTGGCCGTCTTATGGCGTTCCCGGCCCGTCTGACGCCGTCGGGAGCTGTCTTGGGGGCCTCTCTGAACCGACTTGGGGCTCTCTTGGGGCGCTTCGGGTCCGTCTTGGAGGCCAGCTTGGCCGTCTTGGAGGCCTCTTGGCCCGTCTTGGGGCCCTCTTGGGGCCTGGGCTTCTTGGGTCGTCATGGGGCCATATTGGAGGCCTCATGAGCGATTTTGGGGCGATGTTGGGGGCCTCTTGGGCCGTCTTGAGGTCTTCGGAAAGCCAAAAAGAAGCAAATGCCAAAATCCTTCAAAAAACGCAGGAAAACCAATGATTTTGGCCTCATCGGGCTCTCCTTGAGGACCTCATGGAGGCGTCTTAGGGGGCTCTTGGGGGCCTCTTGGGCCGTCTTGAACCATCTTGAGGCTATCTTAGGCCGTCTTGGAGGCATCTTGGGCCATCTTGGAGGCATCTTGGGACCATCTGAGCCGTCTTGGAGGCCATGTTGGCCGTCTTGGAGGCCATCTTGGGCCGTCTTGGAGCCGTCTGGAGCAGGAAAAACCTTTGGTAACCACCTCTGGGCAAGCTGGAAGATCTTTCCGGGTGGCCGACGGGACGGGCCGAAGCCCCAGGGAGAGTTCTTGGGGAAAAAAAACCAAAACCAAAACCGAAAGGGTCTAGCATACCGGGCACCCCTGTGGCAAGACCACAGGGGGCGGCGTATAACGGAAAGAGCGAGGTACGAGTGATGACGTGGTGTTTGGGCGAAGCCCTCTAGGGAGGGGTCCAGGGGAGGGGGGAGGGCCGGAAGGATGAGTGTCAATGGCCGCTCGGGGCGTCTTGGAGGCCTCTTGGGCGCTTCTTGGGCCGTCTTGGGCGCTCAAGACGGTCCAAGAGGGGTCCAAGACGGCCCAAGATACCTCCAAGATTGCCCAAGAGCGCTCCAAGAGAGCCCAAGACCGCCCAAGACGGCCCAAGAGGCCTCCAAGACGCCCCAGGAGGCGCGCAAGGGGCGCCCCAAGAGGGCCCCAAGATGCCCAAAACGGTAATGTTCGAATGAAAACGTGCATTTTGAGCATACGCAGCTTTTCGGCCTCCACGGCGTCGACGACGGCCCAAGAGGCCCCAAAACCGCCCCAGGACGGACCGAAAAGTTTCTAGCTTTTCGCCCCAAGAAGCTCCCAGGAGGCCCCAAGAGGCCCCCAAGAGGCCCTCCAAGAGGCCCCAGGAGGCCCCAATCATTGATTTCCCATATGGAAACATACATTTCTAGCATATACGGCTTTTCGGCTTTCTGGGCGTTGACGACGGCCCAAGAGGCCCCCAAAACCGCAACAAGACAGCCCAAGAGGCTCCCAAGAGGCCACCAAACAGCCCGAGAATGCCCCAAGGCGGCCCAAGAGGCGCACAAGACGGCCCAAGAGGGCCCCAAGACGGCCCCAAGAGGGGGACCACGAACCGAAAAGTCTAGCCTTTCGCCCCAAGAAGCTCCCAGGAGGCCCCAAGAACCCCCCAAGAAACCCCAAGAAGCCCCCAAGAGGCCCCCAAGAGGCCGTTTGGGGGTTTCAAGGGTTTTCTCGCGGGCATCGCGGGCCGTCGTGGAGCGATATGTTGTGTCGTTTGGGGGCCTTCCGTACATAAGTTGCCGATGCAACGCCACATGGAGCCGAACAGCGTTCGAAAAGGGAACAGGGAGGGAGCGTATTCTGACCCGGGATTCCCCACATCGGGGAATTGATAAAATGGAAGGGGCTCCCCGACGAGTCAAATGCGACGTTTGTCCTTTTCCCTCTGGCTGGCGCGGTCGAGGAGGAAGGCGCAGTGAAAGGGGGAGCTGGCGCGCTGGAGGCGAAGGGGTTCCAGGTGCAAAGGGGGCCTGGTGCCTTTTGTGCGTGTGCCTTAAGATAAGGAAGCCGGTTCGAAACTATCCCTGCGCCTACCCCTCTCTCCTTTTTTGTTTCTCTCTCTCTCTCTCTCTTTCTCTCTCTCATTCTCTCTCTTCTTCTTGAAAGCCCCCGCCTTTGAAAGAGGGGTTCCTATTGAAAGCCTCTGCAAAATTGTTCCTATTGAAAGCCTTGGCACAAGGATTCCTATTGAAAGCCTCTGCAGGGGGATTCCGATTGAAAGCCTCCGCAAAAGCATTCCTATTGAAATCCTCTACAACCGGGTTTCTATTGAAAGCTAATACACTAGGGTTACTACTGAAAGCCTTTACAAAACGACTCCCATTGAAAGCCTCTACAGATCGATCCCGACTGAAAGCTTCTACAAAAGGGTTCATAGTGAAAGTTTCTACAAAAGGATTCCTATTGAAATCCTCTACATAAGGATTCCGATTGAAAGCCTATACAAAAGGATTCCTATTGAAAGCCTCTTACACAAGGATTCTTAGAGCCAATGCCAAAGTGTGCATCATGAAAGCCTATACACAAGGATTCCTATTCATATTGAACGCCGATGCAAAAGGATTAGTATGGAACGTCAATTCACAAGGATTTTGATTGAAGCTTCTACAACAGGATTCCGATTGAAAGCTTATACAAAGGATTCCTGTTGAAATCCACTACACATGGATTCCTACTGAAAGCCTTTACAGCAGGATTCCCATAGAAATCCTCTACATGAGGATTCCTATTGAAAGTCTGTACGAAAGGATTCCTACTGAACGACGATGCAAAAGGATTCGCATTGAAAACCAATGCAGAAGTACTCCTATTGGAAGCCTATACAAAAGGATTCCGATTAAAAGCTTTGACACAAAGGATGTCGATTGAAAACCTTTACAAAAGGTTTCCGATTGAAAACCTAGAAAACAGGGTTCCGATTGAAAGCACCTACGAAAGGATCCCTAGTGAAAGCCATTACAAAAAGATTCCGATTGACAGCCTTTAGACAAGGATTCCTATTGAAATCTGTTTCAAAAGGATTCTTATTCAAAGCCAATACAACATGATTCCCAGTGAAAGCATCGACAGCAGGATGCCGATTGAAAGCCAATAGAACAGGATTCGTAGCGAAAGCCAGCGCAAATGATTCCTGTTGAAAGCCGCTACAAACGGATTCCCATTGAAAGCCGCTACAGCAGGATTCCTAGTGAAAGCCTTTTCAAAAGGATTCTTATCGAACGCCAATACAAAACTGATTCCGATTGAAAGCCAATGCGAACGGCTGAAAGCATTTTTCAAAAAGATGCCGATAGAAAACCAATAAAAAGGATTCCGATTGAAAGCCAATACAGCAGGGTTCCCATTGAACGGCTTTACACAAAGGATTTCTATGGAAAACATCTACAAACGGATTCTGCTTGAAAGCCTCTACAACCTCCTCCTCTTCCTCCTCTTTCCCCTCTCCAGAGGAAGACCAAAGAAATTGAAGTGCTGGAGGGGGAAGCCTTAGACAAACCATTGGAAACGCAAAAAGAAAAAAAAAGTACGGATCTCATGGAAATCCCGTCCGCCCAAAAGTTGAGGTTACTTGGGCGGGCGGCATTGCTTGAATTTTTTTTTCAATGTTTGTTTTCCAAGGTTTCAGCCTCCAGAACTTCAGTTTCTTTGTTTGTCCTCATGGTTTTCCCACAGTTATGGCGTTCCGCTGGAAGGGGAGGAGGATGAGGAGGAGGGGGAGGAGGAGGAGGTGGTCCCTTCGGACGGGTGTTCCCTGGGATCTTTAGTTTTTTGTTTGTTCTGTTTTGTTGTTTTCCCACGTGTTTTGCCAAAGTTTCAGCCTCCAGCACTTCAGTGTCTTTGTTTTTGTTCGTTGTTCTCTGGGTTCTCTTAGAGTGTTGGCTTTCCCTTGGAAGGGACGAGGAGGGGGACGAGGAGGAGGAGGAGGAGGAGGAGGGGGGTGGGGGGTGGGGGGATGAGGACGAGCAAGAGAAGAATGATAAGGAGGATGAGAGGATGATAGGATGAATGGGGAGGAGGAGGAAGAGGAGGAGGAAAGTTTCGCACAGGAGGAAGAGGAGGAACGCTTCGCGCAAAAATCTTAGAATCGCGGGGGGCCGAAAACGACTGAAGCCAAACCACCAGGCTCCTTTTGCACCTGAAGCCACCGGAGGACCTAGGGAGAGGGAGGGAGCAGCGACGACGATGACGACGGCGGCGGAGGCGGTGGCGGCGATTACGACGACGACGACGATGACGACGGCGTTTCGCACACGCCGATTTGATCGGCAGATTTCGTATTGCTTTTTGATCGGTGCCTCCTCGCCCCTGCCAGAGGACAATTGCAAAGTATCGCCTTGTGCCCACGGGTGATGCAGCTTTTGGCAGCAACTTGCATCACTTCGTACTTCTTGACAGTGGTGGTAGGGTGGGTGTCGTCATGGTTCCGGGTTTGCCCCCACTATGGGGGAGGGGTATCTGTTTCATCAGGAGCATTGATAAGCCCTTCGCCGAACGGGAAAAAAGGGGAGGATGGAAGAGGAAACGAAATCACCCCAGCCCAGAAGGGCTGGTGGGGTTAGTCTGGGTCTCCCCTCTGACCAATCTGCTGGCTCTGGCGTGGGGTGCAGGGAAGCGACGGTAGTTGCACGCCAAGCAGCACCCTGGTGGAGCAACCACCTAGTCAGCGAGAGAAGAGATACATCGACAGAGAAGTGACAACGACGAGGGAAGCGGGAGACACTGAGAGGGAGGAGAAAGAAGGAAGGGGCAAGGACGCGCGAAGGAGGGCAGAGGAGGAGCAACAAATGCTCTGTTCGAAGCGATGAGCCAGCTACCAGGAGGGTTGGGTAAAGCGTCATCGTGCGGGGCTTCATCCCCGCGGTTTCGCGCCAGGACGGGTGGGGGAGTTCGGATCTTCTAGCAATCCCGGTCAGTCCGGCTGGCGTTGGCAAGAGAAAGCGTGGGAGTGCAAACTTGTATGGCGCTGCGCACGGAGGTGTGGCAGCGCTCTTTGGAGGTGGCGAGGCCACCACGCGCACGCGCGCAGGGTCTCATCGCGCACCCGGGGCAGATCTCCGCCATCTCGGTAGACTACCAAGGGCAGGCGAGCGCGCGCGCACCTGTGGGCGGGCCCTTTCAAGTCTACCCGTTACACGGCTTGTTCACTACTTACCGATCGTCATCGCTTGTTACATTTGGAGCTATGCTGCCGTTTCGAACATGCCCGTTGCCATTGTGGCCGATGCTTCCTCTACGATCTAGGTTGTGTCGCTTTGTATCTCCCCACGTGCATTACTCGAATCCTTGCTCACGTGTCGGTTGATCCATGGTGTGCCATCCGTGTGTCCAATCTTGCCCTCCCCAAGCCGCCCTACTCCTCGTCTCCACCTGGCGCGCCACAGTATGCATTTACCTGTGGCGGGAACGACCTTACCGTGAACCAGTGGCGCATCAACCCCCAGCCAGTGGCCAACGCCAACGTCGCTGGCGGCCAGGGCATTGAGGCTGGCATCCCCCGCGCTGCTGCTTACGTTCTGGATTCCGTGCTTGAACGCAGCATTGCTCTTGCACATTCGCCTCCCCGCCCCCACCCGACGCGCAGATTGCACAGGCAGTGGCGTGGGAGGGGGAAGGGGGGGAGAGGATGAGCTGGAGAGTGAGGCGGGAGGAGGTGTTGTGGAGGAGCATGAGGGGGTGGAGGAAAGGGAGTAGTTGCCTGGATTCCGGATATTCCTGGCAGGAACGATTCTTTGTTTCCCTTACAGCACGTCCGAGATGCAACGCATGTTGCAAACCTCTCACCTTGGGCGACCTCCCGCGTCGTGATATAAGGGCACAGGACGGCTCCAGGAGCCTCCAGAGCCTCCAAAGCCTCCATTGGGGTTCAAGAGCCTTGGGGTTCAAGAGCCTTTCACTGTTACCAGGGAGGCTTCAGGATCCTTTAGGGTTGAGCCGCGCAGCTTCCTGGGACCTCCGAGAGGCGCCCCATGGGCTTCAATGGGCTCCCCATCAGAGGCCCGGCGAAGTGGCACTGCGTGGGCCTTCGAGGCAGCGACATGACGTGGCCCCTGAGGCTTCCAAGCGGGTCTGAGGCCTTTAAGAGCCACGCAGAGGGCCCAAGGCGCCCAAAAGATTGTGAAGTCCCCCGAGCCAGCCCAAGATGGCTCTCAGACGGCCACCATGACTATCCCAGCATGAACCCACCATGACCCCCAGAGTTCCGCTGGGCTCTCCAGGCGGCCCCATAGGCCAGAAGGGGCCCCGTGATGGCCATAGCAAGTCCCAACGGAGCCCTAAGATAGCACAAGATGGAGCCAGGGAGTCCCCAGGAGGGCCGTGAGACTCCCTTCTCGTCCCCCTCCCCCTCCCCCCTGCACCCTCGTGCATGAGTCGGGGCACGCGTGCCATGTGTTTTTTGCCTCGCACAGTCAGCGTGCGCAGTGATTGGATCAGTTTCCGCGTGCGCGTGCCCATCTGAGTTGCAACATGTGCCCATGCTGGCCGGCCAGAGGAAGTAAGCATAAATACTAACATGGGTGCCACAGTTTTCGGATCTCCAAGGTCGAAGAAGTCCTTGCTCTTCAGGTACATGTGGTGTCTCCTCTCACCTTGCTCAGTGCTCTAACTAACCCTGGTAACGCATTGTCGACCCCGTTAACGCCGAAATTATATCACCGCCCGCCCGTGGATGTGATACTTCGCCCCCGAAGCCCTCAGTTCTGGATCCCACCAAGATCGTAAGAGGATCCCAACGACGCCCCGATCGGATTGAGGATTTTCTCGCATTCCTGAAGGATGGGCATCGACCCGTTTCAGGTTCCATAATCACCCTGGAACCGTTCCGGCGTGAAAATTGGAACCTGAAACGGGTGATTTTCTATTTGGGCGCTTTCAGGAGCCTTATGGGCCGCCTCAGGAGTCTTTTTCTCGCGGCTGCGCGCTCCCGCCCAGTGTTGGGAGCGCTTAGATGGGTTTTCACCCCGGAACCGTTCCAGGGTGAAAATCCATCTGGGACCTCTCCAATGCAAAACCGCCCGGGCCCCAAAAATGTCAATTTTCCAAATGAAATTTCTTATCCGGGAGCCTTTTTCTCGCGGCTGGCCCCCCCGCCCAGTGTCGGGAGCGCCCAGATGGATTTTCCCTTTGGAACCGTTCCAGGGTGAAAGTCCATTTGGGACCCTCCCTGGGTGCAAAACGGCGCTCTCGGGGGGTCGGTGTGCCCGAGTCGCCGACATCGTCGTTATCCAAATGGGATCTCTTTAGGGGGAACCTTTTGTTTCGGCTGGGCCCCCCCGCTCAGTGTCGGGAGCGCCGAGATTGATTTTCAACCCATAAGCGTTCCAGCGTGAAAATCCATCTGAGCTGCTTCCGTTGGTCGGTTAACTAGGGTCCGCTGTGGTTCGAGTTTGTTGTGTGGTCGGCTTGTCCAGGTACGTTGTGGTTCGAGTTTGTTGCGCGGTCGGTTGCTGAGGGTCCGCTGTGGTTCGAGTTTGTTCATGGTTGATCGCTGAAGGCCCGCTGTGGTCCGTGGTTCGAGTTTGTTGCGCGGTCGGTTGCTGAGGGTCGCTGTGGTTTGAGTTTGTTGCGCGGTCGGTTACTGAGGGTCCGCTGTGGTTCGAGTTGGTTCCGCGGTCGGTTGATTGGGGTCCGCTGCGGTTCGAGTTTGTTGCGTGGTCGGTTTGCGAAGGGTCCGCTGTAGCTCGAATTAGTTGCGCGGTCGGTTGCTGAGGGTCCGTTGTGGTTCTGGCTTGTTGCACGGTCGATTGCTGAAGGGCCGCTGTGCTTCGAGTTTGTTGCGCGGTGGTGTCCTCTGTCCTCGTCCTCTTCCTCCTCCTCCTCCTCCTCCGTAGCCATTTTGGCTCAAGCCATTTTGGCTCAAGGCATTTGGCACAAGAGGCGCCTGGTGGCCAGGCACCAATGGCAGGCCGCGGCCGCGCTCCACCAGCTAGTGACGGCCGCTCCCTTCGTTCCTCGCGCCCGTGCCTTCCTCCACCCCGACGGAGGCAGTTCGCCAGGTGATGCCGTGGCCAAAGTCCAGTGGGATGTCCAGTGGGATGAACGAACCCATCCCTGTTTCGATCGCCAGCAGCGAAGAGGGAGATTGTGCGACCCCGACCCCGCCCGCGTCGCCGCCAGGTACGGAAGAGAAGTGTGACTCCAGCATGATGGTGGCCCTGAGAAAGCTGCTTTCCCCACTAGCGCGCAGTGTAGATACCCTTGGGATCCATGAGATAAACGGACAGATCTCGGGAATCCAAGGCCACATGTTGCAGGCTGAGAACAACTTCCAGATGCTCCAGACCGCCCATGCCGACCTTGTTAAGGCCACGCGTGGGAACTTTGAGAGTATCCGCTTGATCCAGGAGCAGGCACTCCAGCAGGCCATCCAGGACCGTGAGATCGCAGAGGGTAAAATCATGGAGGATGTGAAGGGGATGATCCAGGCGATGAAGGATGAGATAGCGGAGATGAAGGGAAGTACGGCAGGGAGCTCGCTTGGTGGTACTGTCACCCCAGATGGTCGGTTCACTCGACGTCGCGTGGAAGCCGGTGATATCGGCAACCCCTCTCGGCTCATCGTGCTCGGTTTCAAGCGTGCCCTGATGGAGAATGCGCTTCGGCTTGCTGTGGGCCCGATTCTGGACAAGTGCGTTACTCTGGAAGAGCGTTCGGGAATCCAGGTCAAGGCGTTCAATTGCAGCGAGAAGGTATTTCTGGACTTCCCTTGCACTCTCCAGGCGTCGGCGTTCCATGCGAAAGCAGCTGCTCTGGGCCCCTTCAAGTTCCCGAACCCCGAGGGTGGTGAGGATCTAGAGCTCAGGATTAGGCGCGACCTCCCCCAGACCTCTCGGAAGCTGTTCTACTATCTTGGGAATATGCGTCAGCGCGTGTCTAACATCTTCGGGCAGGAGCGCGCCGGTTCCACGGGGCTCGGGAGTACCATCTATGTTCTGAATAACGGGTCGATCCCAGTCCATGTTTTCATGGTCATGATTGCTGATGACGGGCCCAGTGCGAGAAGCGCGACCATGTCTATTGACCTCGAAGGTCTGACCGAGATAGGAGGTGCACAGCGCGCGCCTTTCCGTCAGACTCGTTTCTCTCAGATGAGACCCTTTCGGCGAGTACGACAGCTGCGTGAAGAGCCGGGGCTACGGGGGGGCAATCCAGACACATCAGGTTGTGGTTTTACGGCGGAACCCCTGGCCTCAGACTGCAGCTCTAGTCTCTAGTGCTAATTCATACGACGCGGCGACACAATTTCCTCTTTCGCTTGCTTGGGGCGCGGGTGGAGTGCGCCGTCTTATCCGTCCTGTCTCTTTGCACTTGGAAAACACGTGCTCTCTTTGTCTCTATCTCGTCTGCCTCTCTGAGAGCGAGTTCGCGTTTTCGTCGCGCCAAGTTGTTCGAGCGTTACCAGGTTGCGTGTTTCCAAGAAGCCCACGGATCGAATGCCGACCTTGCGATTCTCCGCGACGAGCTTCGCACAGGCATGTCGCATGGGAGCTTTATTGAGGGAAATGCTGCTGGTGGGGTAGTCACTTATGTCTCGTCGGAGCTGCGTGAGTGCTTTCGTGAAGTGCAAGGGCGCGTTGTGGTCGAGGGCAGGGCATTGGTCGCCATGCGCACGGGCGACGCGGGCGACCTTGCGATTGTGAACGTGCACATGCCGAACACTTGTGACGACACTTTTGAGTGCAAGCGATATTTGCGTGCTATTGAGCGCGCGCTGCCGCCTGCTGCACGCTGCATGTCGACCATCCTGGGGGACTGGAATCTCGTTCACATGGAGGGCGGCAGGTTTCTTGGTGACGGTTCCCTTTGGCCCAGGGGGCCGCTCGCAGTGTGATGCCTTCCAGGAGATCTGTGGGCACTGCTGTGAGCTGCGCCAGCCTGACCCCGCCCGTCGGGGCATCAGGGAAGGGGGGGGGGGGGGGGGGGGGGGGGGGGTCCGCAGTTTCCCAAGGCTTGACCGCGTTTGCACCACCCTTCCCGCGGGCATTCTGAATGAGATGACAGTTTCCGCGACCGCCGTGGGTACTCTGACCCATCCTGGGGCTTCCTCGGACCATATTCCTGTTGCGGTTTCTCTGGCGCTACCTTTAGCCACTGGGCAATGCTCGATTCCTAAGTGGCTCAGCATGCATGCGGAGTACCGTCGGATGGTCAGCGAACAACTACAGACTTTGGTCTTACCGAGTAACCTAGAGGAGAGGGTACTTCGAGTGAAGACTCTCTTTACCACGGTAGCTACTGAGTTCCGTCAGCCACTCAAGTCCAGGCAGTCCTCGAACGATGCTGAGCGACTCCACTTTGCTTTCCTTGCATATCGGGGATGGAGAGGGCAGCAGTGGTATGTGTGCCTCCGCGCGCTGCGCTGCCATGATGCTCTCTACCGCTATTTCGATGCCGACCATGGAGAATGCGCCGATCCTGACGGGCTTCGCTCTCTGATTGTTACCCTGACGCTTCGACGGTTCGATCGCGAGGAAGAGCGAGTGGAGCACAGCGGTGAGGTGGAGGAGGTTAAGAGTCGGCAGAAGAAGGGGCTGGTGGCGCTGAGGAGGGGATGGGCTTTGATGAAGAGGCGCGCGGGGCCCCGTGGGATTCTGGGCGAAGAAGGCACGCCGCGCCCGCGCCCCGGCATCGCTGCCAGCACCTCGGCGGCACACTGGTCTCGGGCGTTCGCGCATCAGGAGCACGATGCACAGCGCTGGCCTGCCATTCTCGAGCGCGCTCAGCGGCGTGAAGTTTGCCCAGACCCACCGCGGCGGCTTTTCGACCATAGCGAGTTCCCTCGAAGCGTGCGGCACGAAGGTCATTCTGCCCCTGGGCCCGACGGGATCCCGTATGGCTGCTGGGCGGCCCCCGAGGCGATCGATGTCTTATTCGAAGCTTACGAGCGCATTTTCGATTCTGAGGGTGATTGTCTGCCGAGCGATTGCCGCACTAGCCGCGTGGTCTTCCTGCCCAAGGGTGGCGATTCTGCCGATCATGGGTCGTTTGTCTCGCGGGCCCCTTCGCGAGCCCCTGGGGCAACTCGGCCCCTTTCCCTCGCGAGCACGGATGCGAAGATCTGGTCCGACTCCTTCTGCGCGGGCCTGAGCGACGTCGCCCCGCGCGGCGTGGTGGGGCGACAGCGCGCGGGAGCCCAAGGGCGCAATATCTTGGATAACGTTGTCGAGGTTGAGGAATGAGGTCTTCTGCAGCATATGAGGGGCCACGATGAGGCGGGAGTGCCCTTCGCGGACTCCCGAGCTGCCTTTCCATCGATTTTCTCGGTGTGGATCTTGAAGGTTCTCCGGGCCATGGGCGCCCCGAGGGCTGCGATCGGTTTCTATGAGTCTCTTTATATGGGCAATGTTGCGGTGGCGAGCGTCGCGGGGGCCTCTGACATCAGGTTTGACATTGGGCGGGGGGTCCGCCCAGGGGACCCAGCTTCTATGACCCTGTTCGCGCTCGCCCTGGACCCCGTCTTGCGGTGGATTCGGCACATGCGGGCCCCTAGACTAGAAGCTTGAGCTCGCGTGCGCGGATGATTGCTGCTGCGGCCTCCAGAGCATGCTCACGGATTCGATGCCTACGTTGTTTTTTTCTTGGTCTACTGTCCCCTGCCATTGGTCTATCTCTGAATCCCGGAAATTGCTATGCATGTGTCTGGGGATCTCTCTCTCTCTCTCTCTCTCTCTCTCTCTCTCTCCCTCTCTCTCTCTCTCGTGCGAGCGCCTGTCGGAGCACGTGCGACGGAGGGGGGGCCGCTTCCAGGCGATACGGTTGGTGAATCACGTTCTAGACTTAGGTTCTTGGGTTGGCCCGACGGCACAAACAGTAGCATGGCAGGAGGTGATGATTAAGTTATGGCAACGAGTCCGTCTGCTGCGCTCTCTTTCGCTTGGTTTGCCCACCACCATTCGGCCCTTCCGCTCGAATTGCCTCTCGTTGTTGCAGTATCGAATGCAGCTTGTCAGAGTCACCCCCGAAATCGTCCGACCGTATCGAGAAGCCCCACAGATCCTGACAGCAGGCCCCAGACATGCACTGAACCACTGTATGCTAACGCAGATGAGGCATCTTGGGGTATCTTTGGAGTTAGTGCATCTTGGGATCATGGACAAGGCTATTAAGTTTCGTGTACTATCGAGGTGTCGGGGGCGCTAGACAGCGCCCTTTATGTGTTCGAGGAGCTCGCCGCGGGGCGTCGGGATGATGATTTTACTCCTGGGCAAAATGGTTCTGTCTGATGGAGGAACTCCATGATTCGAAGCACCACTGCTGACGCCGCCGACGTACTCAACACAGGGATCAGGCGTGACTGCAGGTATCTTCAGGCGCCGCTTATCCACTTGCAGACGCGTATTGGCAGATGGTTGACTGAGGTTTCTACACCAGCGACGTTGGCATTACGTGCGCGGCTTCGGGCAGTCGAAAAGGCGTCGGGCACCCATCTCTCCACGGGTATATTACGGGCTTTGTCCGGGGGGGGGTTGCACTTCGGCCAGGTTTCATAATGTCGACCGGGGGCGCTGCTTCAAATGCGGGGGCTCGGGCGACCTGCTCCATTATAGGTATTGCCCTGAGTTGAAGGCCCTCGCTCTTAGGTGGCCCCCAGGCGCATCTAACCTTCCAGGTCGGTGGCGGGAGCGGGTCGAGAGCGACGAAGGATGGTTCCCGATGCTGTCATTGCTTGGGCCTTGCCGGGGGCAACATCGCGATCTGGCCAGCGCAGTGATCTTGGATGCCTTCCTGAAGACCCACGCCCACCATCGCCTAAACACCCGAGTTTGCCCCAGGACCCTCTTCCATGCTCGGCTCCCGCTATCTGTGCGTCGCTACAGGAATGTTGCCAAAGTATTCCGTGGAGTGAGACCCAACCGGCCTCAATTCGTGAGTCAGCCTGACGGTGCGTGACTGCTCCCTCCTTGCTTCCCCTGTCTCCCCCCCCATAGCATCTGCGGTTGCGGGTTTCTTTTGCGGTTCGGGTCGTTGTGTTGGGTCCTTGTGTGCTGCTCCCTCCCCCCCCCTGCCCCCCTGCTGCTGTTGCCGGTGTCTTTGTGTCCCTCCCCTGTGTGTGTCCCCTGCCTGCCCGCGGTGCTGTTGCTGCTGGCTGCTTCGTGGTGCGGCCTGGGTTGGGGCCTTCGCCTTTCGCGGTCGAGGGTCGAGGGGGCGCGGCGACGGCGCGCGCGCGCGGCCGCCCCCGCCGCCCCCGCCCGCCGCGCCCACCGCCGCCTGCAAGCCGCCTCCTTCGCCTCTTTCCTGAGGTGCCCTCCGCTCGCTCTCTGAGGGAGCAGCAGTGGGTGGTGCTTGCATGCCTCTCTGTCCCAGTGTGCCTGGGTTTTGGGTCTGCGCAGGTGAGACGGACCCGCAAGCAGTCCAAGTCTCTCTGGGGCCCGGATCTCGCTTGTCGGGCGGCTGCAGTCCTCCCCCACGCGCCAAGTGCGCCCCCCCCCCCCCCGGTCGGGACCTCCTGCCCCTTCCGTTGGGGGGGCGGGATGGGTCGCCCTCGCCCGCGCGCGAGGTGCCGCGGCGACCTCGGCCTGTGGTGCAAGGGGGAGCTGTTGCCGAAGGGCTTCGGCCAGTGCCATTTCCCCCCTCTTTCCTCCCTCGCTGCCCATCTGCTGCTGCTGCCCCCCTTCCGCATGGCATCGCTCTTGGCGGGCCTCGACCGCGGGGTCGGGGCCAGCGCAGCTCACGGGCGATGGTCATGGATATGGATTTAAGGTGCGCGTCCTGTGTGCCCCCCCCCCCCCCCCTCCCCCATCCTCTTCTCCGTAGCAATTTTGGCTCAGCGCCAATATGGTTTCCTCATCGCTGCCTCCGCGGGGGTAGGCTCCCACAGGCCACGGCTTTCCGCGCGCTGCCACCACCAGAGGCTTGCAGCGGCCCAGACGTTTTCCTGCTCACCGCACTGGCCTGGCAGGCGGCCATCCATATCATCCATGATCTGTCGTCGCGAGGTGGCGCCGCGCTCCCGCTGGCGGCTGGCGCCCCGCTCAGCGTGACATGCCCAGCTCTTCCGACGAGGACCGAAGCACGAGCCGCAGCCAGCAACGCCGTCGAATAGGAGGTGCAGATCGTCGTCGAGCCACCGCTGCTGCAGACACCCTCGCGCTCGTGGCATCAGGTGCTGGAAGACAAAGGACCGCCAGATCGGAACGCTCATCGGCAAGACCAGACGCTTCCTGCCTCCCTGGCGGACAGCAGTAAGACCAGCAGTCCGACCCGTGGCGACCTCGGGGGCCATTCCAACTCGACGCCGAGCAGCAGCGCGCCCTCGAGAGCGACCTGGAGGCATTCCCCACCTTCGCATCGCAAGCAGAAGGCCCCGCTCAACAAGCTGCCCATGTCCCTGCCGCCCCCGTCGGTGGCCTTCACACGCCACTCGCTGATCGCTCTCCCGTTCGGCTACCTCGGCTTCTTGCGGATCTCGACCGCGCGCATCAAGATCTCATGCTGCACCGGATGTCCCAGGCAGTGGGCGCGCTCTAGCAGCAGGCAGACATCCCCCTGGACCAGACCCGCGAGAGTTCTCGCCAACTCCTCCAACCACAAGCACTGCAGACTGAGCGCAGCGTGGATTGCCTCCAGGACCAGGTAGCGAACGCCAAGCGCGAACCAGACCGCCAAGCAGCTGAACAAAAGAAGATGTGGATTGAGATCGACATGATGCGCAACGCCCTCGCGCTCGCGGAGGCCCAGCTCCCCGCCGCGGACATTCCAGGCTCTCCGACTGGGACCGCTCGCCGACGCGCCCCTATTCTCCATCGGCGCTCAGCGGATCATGCCCCCCCAGCGTCGTCTTCAACGACCTTCATGTTTGGATCGCAGACGCTGGCCTCCAGCCCGATCAAGTGGAGCTACACGGCGACGCTCCCGCCAGGCGCTTCATCCTGCATGTCAAAGGTGCGAAGGAGGTGGCCATCCCATGCGCCCTTGCCCTTCAACGTGCTCTCCGCGATGCTGCTGGCAGATGGCGGCGCGGCGATTCCACGGGCGCCAAGGGCAACGACTCGACATTTTCATCAACCCCGACAAGTCCCCCAAGCAGATCCGCACAGAGATTCAGCGCGAGACGCCTCAGCAGCTCCTCGCCCAGCGTCTCCCGCAGCTGCGCCGGAGGGCACTCCGCGCAAAGGGCGAGATCCTTTGCGACGCGGTCGCGCTGGCGCGCCTCAACCTCAAGGGCCAGGCCGGCCCCGCCATCCTGGAATGGAGCGGGCGCGCGCTGGCGAACCCTGACCGCGGCGGCCTCGACCGCGGGGGCATTCCCACAGCCTTCCAGGCCCTTTTCGCGGACATGGAGACTACCGCGCGGTGTTCCCGGCCGCCCGCGGGCTCCGTGGCGCGAGGTTGACGCTTCCAGGCCGCCCTCATTCATCAGCTGGAAAGCGCGCGCCACCATGTGCCCCAGGCCCCGCAGGCGGCGCCGCAAGCAAGCAGCTCTCATCAAGTGCATGCGCGGCAAACGCGTCATCCTGCTATGGGAGGCCCATGGCGCCGAGGTGCTCTTCCGTACCTGGCTTGACGCGCCACCGTGCCCGCGCAAGCTCTTCCTCTCTGAGTTCGCGGCAGACCCCGAGCGCGAGGCGCCCCCCTCGACTGGTGGCGTCGCTATTCTTATCCCCTGGTTCACGCGAGCGCAGCTGGAGCGCCTCCGCCCTGACCGGCCCCCCGACTTCGAACGTGTCTCGCTGGTTCTTGGGCGCGTCCAGCAGCTGTTCATCAGCGAGGCGAACGCAGGCCACTCCCTCGCCATCACGCACATCCACAACCATACACTCCAAGCGCGCGACCGTGACAGGGTCCGCGCGGCTTGGCACGCGCTCCGCGAATGGGCGGCGCACGATTACATTGCGCGCACCTTCCTGGCCACGGGGGGCTTCTACACCGCCGGCCGCCCGCCGCGCAGCTTCAACCAGCCCTGGGCGACCCGCGCGCGCCTCCAGCTGGGCAACAACAACCGTCATCAGCTGCCTTTCTGGAAGGCCCTGCAGGGAGCTCCATCGGAGGTTCATTATTTCGGCACACCCCTCTCGAGGATCGCGGCCCTGGCTCCGCAGGGGGCCTCCCGGGCCGCTGCGAGAGCCTCTTGGGCTTCCGAGAGAGCCCCGTGGGCCTCTGAGCGAGCCTCTTGGACCTCTGAGAAAGCTTCTCGGGCTTCTGACAGGGCCTCGTGGGCCTCTGAGAGAGCATCTTGGGGGGGCGTCTGAGACAGCCTCTCGGGCCTCTGAGAGGGCCCCGTGGGCGTCTGGGAGAACCGCTTGGGCCTCTGGGGGAGTTCTTTGGGTTGCGAAACTTGCACTGGGTGGGTGAAATGCCAAATTGGGCGTGCGGGGCGCATGCAGACAGTCCCATTGGCCACGAAACGCTGTGCTGGGTGTGGCGGACGCATGTGGCCACCGCCACGCCGGGGCGCCCGATGGGGCTCCCGATGGGCCACGAAACGCTGTACTGGGTGTGGCGGACGCATGTGGCCACCCCCACTGGGGCCTTCGGTGGAGCTCCCTACGGTGCCACGAAGCGCTGTACTGGGTGGGCGAAAATGCCAGATTGGGTGCGCGGGACGCATGCGGACGGCCCCGCTGGGGGCTTATGTGAAGCTTCGTATGGGGCCACGAGACGCTGTACTGGGTGGGCCAATTGGGTGCGTGGGGCGCTCCCGCTGGGGGCTTCGGTGGGGCCCCCTATCAGGGCCACGAAACGCCTCTTGGGGGCTCCTGGGGTCTCCCTGGGCTGTCTGGGCATGTCTTAGGGTTCTTTCGGAGCTCTCTCAGGCCAACTTGGCGCCACCTGGGGCTGTCTATGGCCGTCTTTGGGGGGGCGCTCCTAGGGGGCCTTTCTGGACCGACTTGGGGCCCTCGTGGGGTGCTCCATGCCGTCTTAGAGGCCATCCCGGGCGTCATGGAGGCCTCTTGGGTTGTCTTTGCCTCGTCTCCCCCGCGCGTGCCAACCTCGAATTCGGGGGCAGGAGAGTGCCCGTTCAGTGCGTCCCTCTGCCACAGTTGTTTTTATTTTTTTAAGTTAAAAAAACATCATGCGTTTTCGTAGGTTCCCGGCGGTCTCTGAGCTTCAGCCGCGGAGTGCCCCCCCAGCATCTGCGCTTCGTCGAGGGCGTTCAAAGGGGATGCTCCGATCGCCCCGATCGAGCGCGCGAGGCGGGAGCCATGGTTGAAAGCCCCAAGAGGTTCCGAAGATGCCTCCCATAGGCTCCCAAGATACCCCCAAGAGACCTCTTCGATTCCACGTTGGAGGTCGAGGCCGAGCTCCTCGCCGCGATCAAGCGCGCGATCGAGAACCGCAAGCCGCCCGTGAAAGTCCAGCGCCCGATCCCTGATTTCATCTTCCGCTCCAAGCAGTGCAAGACTCTCCTCACCAGGATGCTGAACGAGGCTAAACTGGCCACGATGACCGACCTTCGGCGCTTCGATGTCACGAAGCAGATCATGATCCTGGCGGCCGAGCTGTCGCGCAACGAGCTGCAGCAGCTTCCGATGGACGCGGGCGACGTCAGCGTGCTGGAGAGTAGGAGGCTCGCGCTCCGTGCCATTGCGCGAGCCATCTGGCGCTCGGACATCGTCGCCGCTCGCCAACTGGCTGCCGCCGCAGAGCTAGGGCGTGGATTTTTGAACGTTGCAGGGTCCCCCCCTCAGCTGCGCGATGCGGCTGAGCTTCAAAGCGCCATTATTCGCAGTAACTAAGCATCGCATGAGCGGCCCCAACGCCTCGCGGCTGCTCGTGCGGCCCGAGCGCAGGACCAGCCAACCATCGAAGCTCGGCGACGCATCCAGCGCTCTCTCCAGCGCCGAGCGCCGCTCTGGGCACCATTTTCTGAGCGCCCTGTTTTGCGCGGCATCACACACACGGTCAGACTGCCCAGAAGCCGGGGCTCAATGATGGAGGCTCAGTGCCCCCGCCAGGTGGCCAGAGAGCCAGGGGGCGTTGCCCGTGCTTTCCGACTCCAGTGGTTTCCGACGTGTTTTCGGACTAACGTGTTTCTCGTGCTGAAACCGCCAATTTCCTTGACAAGGTGTCGCCGGCGTTCCCAGTTGCCGACCTTCCGATTCCTTCCGAGGATGCTCTCGATCGAGCCTGTTCTCGTGAAAGGAATTCGGCGCCTGGCCCTCCGCCTCTCGTGCCAGGCATGGCTGGCCGCCCCAGCCACCATTTGATTGTCTCTACCCCATCTTCCTTCGCCTCTTCAGCTCCCTGCCTGCCCCTCCCACCCTGAACCGTTTGATTTTTGTTTTCCCGCTGAAGGGTGGCAAGATGGACGATGCGCTCGAATGCCTTCGCGACGCATCAGAGGTCCGCCCGCTTTCTTTCAACAGCTGCGATGCCAAAGCGACGGCGTCAGCAATCAATCTCCCGCTAACAGAGTTAGCCCAGGAGCGTGTGCACGCAGCCCAACAGGGGCGCATCAGTGGCCGCTATTTCGGCCAGAACATAGCCAAGCTGGATGCACGCGCGAAAGCGGTCGGTTTCCATGGCGACGTCGACTGTAGGATGGCCCCATTTGTGGCATTTGACACCAAGGCGGCGTTTCCCAGACTGAGTTGCACATGGCTCTTTGCAGTCCCCGAACGTATGGGCCTTCCTCCTGGGCGCCTGGCCGCGGTTCGAGGCATGCGCGCCTTCGCCTTGGCCTTGACCCGCATCCGCGACGAAGTCGCGCCGCTGCTGCTTACCAGCGCAGGCGTGGCGCAGGGGTGCCCGCTGAGTGGCTCACTCTGGGCATTCGGCATGGACCCAATCATTCGCACGCTGGAGCTGGCGCTCCCACCAGACCCTCGCGATGGCTCGCTCGGCGGCTGCGCGGATGATCTAGGGGCTGTTCTGTCGAACATGGTGCACCTCTCTCGCCTCTACCCCCGCTTTCGGTTCCGCGTCGAGACTTGCCCCCCTCCACCTCCGCCCCCTCAAGCGCGTGCTTGTGCCGCTGTGGGCGGAGCGCGCGCCAGTTGTCATCGAGGGCGCGCGAGCGGCCCTCCGTGCCACCACCCCGAAGTGGCAGTCTTTCACGATAACAGGGTTGTTGGCCAACTATCTGGGGGTGTTTGTCTGGGGGTGTTCATTGGGCCCGACAGCGCCAATGCCCGACAGTGGGCAGCATGCACGCAAACGTGGTGGAGGCGAATCCTCATGACCTCGGCCTCCGACTCGCCTCCTGACGCCCCCCTCCGCCTGTGCCAAGTCGCGGTTGCCCCCGCCGTGGGCTACGTGGCCCAGTTCTTTCCGCCGCTCAAGCTGCTCCTAGCGAAGGAGCCGCGTCGCTTGCGCAGAGTGTAAAGCTGCCACCGAGCTCGTTAACTGGCCCCGAACTATGGTCGCTCCGAGCATGGGCTCCTGGAGTTAGCCCGCAGCCCATCGCCGCGTGCGCTGCAGCAGCGAGCTGGCGGGTGGCCTGCGTGACGATCCCACAACATGCCGCATGGTTCCCCGAGCTCTTTGAGGCGTCGCTCTCGGGCAACACGCTCGCGCGACATGTCCGAGAGATGTGGGGCCCTCCAGTCTGGCGCGGTCAGCGCGCCATAGTGCAGTTCTTGCACGATCGCTTGCACCCGATCGCGCAAGCAGGGCCACCCCCCAGACTGTTGCCCAAGCTGAGATGGTGCAGAAACGGCCGCAGCTCCAGGGAGCGCACACCCGCGCGCTCACCCGTGAATCGCTGTTCCCTATGAATATACACCCCTCCCCCGGGCGACTGGGGGCCAGCCCGAGCCAATGAGAGCCCCCCCCCCCCGCCATCCCTTGAGAAAGAAAAAAAAAAAAACAGACAAACACACACTCCGCCTCCAAATTCGGAGCACGCGCAGCGAACCCGATGCGGCCCACCCCCACAATCCCTGTCAACAAAAACAATACAGAGTACATTTGGCGGCAGCGGCGGCTGCGGCGGCTGCGGTGGGGGCAGAGGCTGCGGCGGCGGCGGCGGCGGCGGCGGCGGGGGCGGCGGCGGCGGCGGCGGCGGTGGCGGCGGCGGGGCGGCGGCAGCGGTGGCGGCAGCCGCTGCGGCGGCAGCGGCCGCGGCGGCGGCGATTTGGCAGTGGGGGCGGCGGCGGCGGCGGCGGCGGCGGGCGGCGCGGCGGCGGCGTCGGCGGACAGCGGCGGCGGCGGCGGCGGAGGCGGCGGCGCCGGCGGCGGATTCGCCCCCAGTAGCTGCCCATCCACAGCCGACAGCTGAATATGCTGCGGTTCGGGCCAGCCTCGGGTGCTACGTATGCGTTGGGAGGGCGGGTGGGAGTGAGCGAGACGGCTCGCGGGCGGGGAGGGCGTTCTGGCTATGCCCCGACCGCTTGCACTTGACGCTGCACAAGCGCGTGCAAACGTGGTGCCCTGACATGCAAGTTCCTCCCCTGGCACCGCGCTGGCCCGCCCTGAAAGCCATCCTGGCGGTTTCTCGCTCTGCCATTTTCTGGTCTGCGCTCAAAACCCTGGCGGGCGGTTGGATCACCCCCCACAGACTGCCTTCTAATATGTGCCAGCTTGGGTGTGTCCTCGGGTATGGGAGTATGCCTGACTCCATTGCCCACTACCTCTTCTGCCCGCGCCTGCTCCACCTCGTCGCCTTACCCAGTTCCTTCCTTCCCAACTTTGTCATCGCTCGCCCCAGATTTGGAGATGATTCCGGATGTGCAGGGGAGACCTCGCGGGAGCGCGCTGCATATCTCATCGCATCGGCGTCGAGACTATACCACGCGCTGTGGCCGCGGTCAACCGGGCACGCGCCTCCTTCACATCATAACTCTCACATTGAGGCGCTGGCTGCAGCGGGCCGCTCGCCCGACGCCCGAGGCAAAGACGCGTGGCTCGCCAAGAAACGCGTGACCATCATCATCATCATCATCATCACCATCATCATCATCATCATCATCATCATCATCATTACCGTCGTCGTCATCAGCAGCGTCATCATCATCAGCAGCATCATCACCACGGCCATCATCACCATCAGAATAATCATCCTCACCAACAACATCAATAGTATCATCCTCCACACCATTCGCATATTCCTTTTCGTCTTCATCCCCATCATGATTTCCAGCACCACGCTTCATGTAGGACTGGGCGGGGGGGGGGGGGAGATGTGCAGAACGCTCTCGCCATCATCCTCATCATGGGGCGCTCCACCCTGTTCGGTCAAGTTAAAATTGATGCACCGCGCTGGGCGTCGAATCAACAGTTTGGACAGAAGCGGACGGTTGGAGATCTTCCTACTCCTCCCCTCCCTCATCCTCCGCCTTCCGCCCTCCTCTTCCTCCTCCTCCTCCTTTCTTTGCTCCCCCTCTTCCTCCTCCTTTTCCTCCTCGTCCTCCTCCTCCTCCTCCTCCTCCCCGTCCTTCTCCTCTCCCCCCTCCTCCCCATCTTCATCATCTCCCTTATATTTCTCACCCTCCCCCTCATCTTCCCTCCTGCTCCTCCTCCTTCTCAACATCATTACCATCATCATCGCCGTCACCACCATCAGCACCAGCATCATCACCATCACCACCATCACCATCATCAGCATCGTCATCATCAGCATCAGCGTCATCACCATCAACAGCAACATCGTCATCACCATCATCAGCATCTGCATCACCATCCAGCCCCAACGCCAGCATCATCATCATCGCCATCATCAGCAGCAGCACCCGCAGCACCATCATCAACATCATCATCACCAGTCGCATCATCACCATCGCCATAATCATCACCACCACCACCAGCATCGTCACCGCCACACCTGAGTGGTGCGTGCACATAACTATCTTTTGGGTTTGTGAAAAATCGACGTGCTTTAAACGAGGTTCGTCCGCAACTCTCTCTCTCTCTCTCTCTCCCTCTCTCTCTCTCTCTCAAGTCTGCTGCTTCGGGTAGCGGACGCATCCCTCGCTTCCCGGCCCCGCGGGTGCATCGGGGCCGCGACTGACCCCCCCCCGCGCTGATCGCGCTTCCAGCGGCCGCCGCGGGCGGCTTCTGGGGGGCGGAGCTGCGGGGTGTCAGGGCGCCCGACACCGCGCTGGCCGCGGCGCTCCCTCCGCCTGGTCCGATCTGCCAGGCTCGACAGGAGTGGGGCTGTCCGGATTGCCCCAGGGCGCCGACCTGCCCGCGCTGCCTGGGCTGCCCAGCGCTGGAAAGAAACGGGCGGAGTGTGCCGGAGCTCGTGGCCTCCCACCTGCTGACCATCGGGGCGCAGCATCGTGGCGACGTCTTCGGCCACGAGCGCTGGCCGTTGCACCCGTGCACTAAGGAGCAGGACGTCTGGCATGCTGCTACCCCCGACCTCGACGAGTACCCGGAGGCAGTAGTTGTGGGCCCGGACGCTGACACCATCAAGACTTGCCCGCTGCCTGATGACGGGGCGAGGCCCGATTGGCCCGCAAGGAAGTTGCACCGAATCCGTGTCTACCCCAACCGTGGCGAGCTGGCGGCCATGATCAAGCGCGGCTACCGCGCGGCCGTGAAGCACGACGCTGGCGGCGCCCCGCCTGCGCTGGAGGACATGCTGCTGCCGACGGGCGACGACGTCGCGATCGGCGAGCTGGCCCTGGGCTGGCCTGGGCCCGCGCGCAGGGTGCGGGGCAGGCAGAGCGAGGCTGCCGGCGCCAGCGGCGCGGGCCTCCCTTTGCAGCCGCCGGCCGAGGAGCCGCCCGCCGCGCGGGCAGAGCTGCTCCCTGGCCTCCGCTGGGGCGCGATGGGCTACAGCGGCGCGCTCTCGCCTGGCGACGAGGCCGCCTTGGACGGGCTGGCCTTTGTGCGAGCGGGGTCCAGCGACGGGCTGCTGCTAGACGGGGCCAACTACGTGCACTGCTGGGCGGCGAGGCCCGAGGCCGTGCCCGACGTCGTCGCCGAGGAGCGCGGCCGCTGGCAGCCCTGCGAGGACCCTGCGGCCGACATCCGCACCCTGTGGGTCGATCTTGCCAACCAGGGGGAGAGGTCCAAGTCGTGGCGGGACGTGACTCGAGAAAGTACGCAAGAGACGTTCTCCGACTCTCCCCGGGAGGGGCCAGGCGCGGCGCTCTTCCTGGCCGAGCGCTTTGATCGGCGCGGAGGCGATCCTCGGCAGCGTCTGCTCATGGTTCTGAGGAGAAAGATAGACGGTTCAGGCCGGACATATCACGAGAAGAAGGTGCAGTGCGACGCCCTCTACTTCGCGGGCGCGCACGACCAGCTGACCGTCGGCGCCCTCGCCTCGCTGGAGACGCCCATGCGGCGCATCCAGACCACCATCGACGCGTGCCAGAACTTACGGAGGATCACCTGGGAGCATTCGAGGCTGCACATGGGCGCAGGACGCGGCGGCGGAGGGAGCGGGGGCGGCGGCCGAGGCCTGCGCGGGCTCGCGCTTGGCGCCGCCGATCCGCAATGAGCAGCAGCACCGCCGAGGGAACTGGCTGGCCCCACTCTCGGCGGGCAAATTTGCGGCCCTGGGGGCGCTTCCCCAGGTGGCCGACTGATGGGGGACTTCTTCTTTCTTTCTGCCCCAGCGGCGCCGGCTGGCCCAGCCACTTCGATACGTTCGGCAAAGAGGGCATGGTCGAGCTCAGCGGCGCACAGGGATGGCGCAGGAGGCGGTCCACGGACTGAACTGGCTTGCGGGCTACGACACCTGGGATTCCGGTCAGGAGTCGGCGGCGCCAGGTATTTTGACCCCCAGGTGTTGGCCCGCGCGGAAGGCTTAGTCAGGGATTGCGAGCCCATGCCAGAGGCCCCCTCGGCGCGGGAGGCCCTGCGGGACCTCTTGCACGGCCGGTCCCCGTGCGCGCTGGAGACTGGCTCCGCGAACCTCGCGGCATTCAACGCCGACCTCGTGTCCTTGCCCGACGACGTCTCAGGGTCCCGAGGCGCTGCTGGATGCTGGAGTCTCTCGATACTTGGAGGCCTATCATGAGCTGATGCTGCGACCCTGGGCTGAGGGGGAGTATATTGAGTCTGAAACACGAGAGATCACACATTATACTGTCACTGCTGTACAAACAAGAAGGCGTACCACGCCTTCGTCAAGAAGCTCTGGGGCCTCGGCATGCTCGGCGCGACGCTCGAGACGCGGGAGAAGGTCGGGGACTTCTTCGCGTGGGAGAGCAACAGGACGCGTCTCAGGCTGATCATAGACGCTCGGAGGAGCAACTGCAGGTTCCGCACCCCGCCAGGCGTCAGGCCGTGCACCTCGGAGGCCTTCGCAAGCATTGAGATCGGGAACGGCGACTTGGCGAGCCTGGAGGGCCTCGGGCTGCGCCTGGGCACGGCGGACGCGAAGGACTCGTTCCACCGGCTCAACGCCCCCGCCTGGCTCAGGCCCCTCTTCGCCTGGCCTAAGGTGCCTGCGCGGGTGCTGGGGCTGAGCGAGCTGGGCGGCGCGCAGCTCAGGCCCACCGACGCGGCGTGGCCCACGTCGGCCTCCACGTGCATGGGATTCGCGTGGTCGCTGTTCTTCGCTCAGAAGGCCGACGCGCGGCTAGCGGCTGCCGCGCCCAGCCTGCGCGGGCCCGAGTTCGCGCGCGACCGGTCGCCCCCCCTGGCGCCGCCCGAGGGCCGCCCCCGGCGCTGCGTGCACGTGGGCAGCCTGGGCGCCTTCGCCCGCGACCAGAGCGCTGCCGAGCGCGCTGTCCAGGAGTGGAAGGCGGACTTCGAGAGTCACGGGTTGGAGCTACACGGGGGCGAGGTGCTGCCAGCTTGACGGCCGCCGGCCGCGGGCGGCCACCGCCCCTGAGCGATTCTGGAAGGTCTGGGCTGCGAGCGAGGAATTACTTCGTCGTGGCAAGTTGTCAGGTTGGGCCCTCGGATGCTGGCTCGGTCATTCTGCTTTCTTGAGTCTGATCCAGAGAGGCCTCCTGTCCGTCTTTCACACCTGTTACCGATTCTGTCGCACTCACTACACAGGTCGCGGTTCTCTGGCCTTCGGTTCGCGACGAGATCCGAGCCTGGGGCGGGGGGGGCCGGCGATCGTCCTGGCCCAGGACTGGGGGCGACGTTGGAGTGAGTTAGTGACCGAGAGCGACGACGCGAGTGAGCAGGGGCACGGAGTGTGCGCGTCCTCTTGGAGTCGCGCGCAAGCGTCGTCGGTTGGCTCTCATGCTAAGCGACAGCAAGAGCATTGTTTGGGCTTTCGCGAGGCCCCGCTCACGCGAGCTCCGTTTCCTCATTCATATCCGTCGGGCCGTGGCTTACAGCCAGGCGCGTAATGTAGCTTTCTGTTTTAGGTGGATCCCGAGTGAGTTGAACTCGGCGGACGAGCCCTCGCGTCGACGCGACCCCGATTTTCAGAAGAAGCCGACTGCGTGCTGGTCTCACCGCGCTCCTCCGTGCTCTACTCGGCTCAAGCCTGACCTCTTGGATGCTTCCCCCTCAGGCCGTTCGCCGCGCCCTTGCCCTTGCCGTGATCCGGCTGACGTCTCCCGACGGTCCGAGTCAGAAGCGCCCGCGAGGGCTGGGGCCTCCCCTGAGCAGTGGAGCCGGGAGCGCGGCCCGCGAGGCGACCGTGCTAGAGCGGACTGCGAGGGCGCTGGCTCGCGCGAGCAACAAGGCGACTCGGCCGCGGCCCGCGGGTCAGGACGGGCTGGACTGCGCCCCAGCAGCGGGGCAGGCGCCGCGGGGGCGGGCCAGCGACAGCTCGAGCGGCAGGCCCCCGTCCGAGCCCGAGCCCGGCGCCGTCGGCGGAACGGCGCGGGGGCTGGCGAGGATGTCGCGGCGTCGACTGGCCGAGTACCTGGGGGTTGCGCTGGGCTTCGCGAGGGAGGGGCTCAGCCTGCTGGAGGCCATGGCGGTGTCGGACAACGCGCGGCGCTGCTACTCGAGCCACCTCCTGGACTTCGAGCGATTCGCCAAGGGGCACGACCCAGCGCTCGCGGGCGACGGCGACGTGGTCGACTGGCTCGTGAAGTTCTCCAACGCGAGCTCCCTCGGTGGACGGCAGCCGGATTGCGGGAAGAGGGTGCTGGCAGCTTTTGCGGTCCGCCACCCGGACTTCACCAAGGCCGGGTGGCCGCGGGCCTGGCGCTGCCTACGCGGGTGGCGCCGCCCGGCCCTTGGCCGCTCGATGCGGCGCCTGCCTCAGGCGGTGTGGAAGGCGATTGCCGCCGACCTCTGCCTGCGGGGCCACAGGCTGCTGGCCGTGGCGGTCTTGCCGGGCGTGGGGGCCCACCTGCGGTCGCGCACAAGCTGATGGTGATGCAGCCCGAGGAGCTTGCTCCCCCGACGCGGGATGCGGCCAGGCGCTGGTCGCCGATCGGCGGCCCTCAGACGGGGAGCATCACCGCCAAGACAGGGGCTATGGACGACAGCGTGGTGCTGGGCTGCAAGTGGCAACAGGGGCTGACGCCACTCTGGTCGGCGTTGGCGGGGGCCCCTCGCGGGAAGCCGATCTGGCCCTTCACGTACACAGAGCTGGCGAAGGAGTTCAAAGAGACGCGCAGCCGACTCGGTGTCCCCGCGGCGCCCTGCATGCTGAGGCACAGCGGCCCTGGCATCGACAGGGCCATGCAGTTTCGGCCACCCGGCGGAGTGCGCAAGAGAGGGGGCGCTGGGCAAGCCACAAGTCGGTCGTGCGGCACGAGAAGGCGACGCGGCTGAGCAGGGCGTGGCGCGACTTCCCGAGGGTCAGCCAGAGGCGGTGCGAGGCGCTCGCCGCGCGCCTCGAGGAGCTACTGCTGCGTGGCGCAGACCGCGCTGCCAGCGGCACGGGGCGCCGCTGTGGAGTCAGTATCTGGGAGATTTTTTCGCTGGCGAAGACGGCGTCGCCCGCGCCAGCCGCCGCCTGGGCGTTCCCGCACGGACCTGGGAAGTCCGGGACGGCCCCTCTGGCGATCGGACGCGCCCGCCCGTGCTTCGGCGCGTGCGCCAAGGCGCCGGCGCGGGCAAGCTCCTTGCCGCGATGTTCGCACCTCCCTGCCAAACTTTCTCTGTGGCGAGAGACCGTGCTGCAGCGATTCGGACCCCTGAGTTCCCATGGGGAGCGCCCTGGTGTAGCACTCGTGATGATGTAGAGCTGGTAGAAGAAACGCCTGCCTCACCTCATGCCTCAACCTTACAAGTATTGCGCGCTAGAAAGATTCCTTGGATTCTCGAGAACCCGAACTCGTCTAAGATGTGGTATGTTCCGCAGGTGCACGCCCTAATTTTCTTGGCAAATGTCGAATCTGTAGTGTGCGACTTCTGCCAGTTTGGGACCCTTTGGAGAAAGCGCACCCGATTTACATGTCACTGGATCCCAAAGGCTGACCTGCGCGGCCGTCGACGCGCTTGCACAGGCAAGCGCGGCTTCTGCAGCGCAGCCGGGTGTAAACGCTGCCAGGTAGAAGGATCCGCGATGACACGCAGAGCCCAGCCTTACCCGAAAGAGCTTTGCCAGTCGTCAGTCCACTCCTTGCTGCATAAGGTTCGGAATGCTCAGATGAATTATTCCGACCTTGCTCTCGCAGCCCGCCATCCTTCCGCACAGCCTGCCCAAACATCTTTCCCGAATTCGAGGATTTCCCTTCTTCGGGGCGTTTTCGGGACTTGCCCAAGCCCGTTGGCGGCCGGGTCGCTGCCGCCAAGACGCGCGTGGCTTCTACGATACGTATCGGATCCGCAGAAAAAAAGGAATCGCCAGTGATAGAGGGGTGCGTGCACATATCTATCTTTGGAGGTTCGTGAAAAATCGACGTGCTTTAAACGAGGTCCGTCTGCAACTATCTCTTTTTTTCTCTCTCTCTCTCTCTCTCTCAAGTCTGCTGCTTCGGCCCGCCCACCCACTCCAGGACTTTTTAAGGCTTGGTCCAGGGGTGCTGGCGCAACCCCGTTGGCGGCCGGGTCGCTGCCGCCAAGACGCGCGTGGCTTCTACGAGACGTATCTTATCCGCAGAGAAGGAAGCCCCAGTGCTATGTATACTATTCTCTTAACAGTCCCATAATGTTTATTCATTCCATCCTTATCGACATTATACGGATCCCCCTTCCCCCACCCCCTTCTCCACATCATCATCCTCCACGTTATTCCCATGCTCCTCCCCCAACTCCTTGTTCTCCTCCTCCGCCTCGTCCTCCTGCTCCTCCCCCTCCTCCTCGTCCACGTTCTCGTCCTCGACATTATCCTTCTCCTCCTCGTCCTGCTCCTTCTCCTCCTCTTCATTCCCTCCTCCTCCTCCTCCTCCTCCTCCTCCTCCCCCTCCTCCTCTTCCCGTCCTCCTCCTTCTCCTCGTCCTCCTCCTCCTCCTCATCATCATCCGTGTTTTGCCGCTTCCTCCTCCTCCGCCTCCTCCTCTTTCTCCTTTCCTCCTCCTCCTCCTTCTCCGCATCCTCCTCCTCCTCCACCTCCTTTTCCTCCCTCCTCCTCCTCCTCCGGAGGAGGAGGAGGAATAAGAACAGGAGGAGGAGAAGGAGGGAAAGGAGGAGGAAGAGGAGTAAGAGGAAGAGGAGGAGAAGAAGGAGGACGAGGAGGAGGATGAAAAGAGAGAGAGAGGAGGAATAGGAAGAGGAGGAGAAGGAGGAGGAGGAGGAAGAGGAAGAGGAGGAGGACGAGGAGGACTGGGAGGACGAGGAGGATTGGGAGGACGAGGAGGAAGAGGAGGAGGAGGAGGACGAGGAGGAGGAGGAGGAGGAGGACGAGGAGGAAGAGGATGGAGGAGGAGGAGGAGGAGGAGGAGGAACGTTTAGGAACGGTTGGTTTCACCAGAGGCCCAATCGGGCCACGCACCCCAGGCGCGGAGGACGAACACCACGCAGGCACCGAGGCCCCATGCGTGCCCCCCGTTCCCCAAGCCTTAGTTGCGGGGCCCTCATGGGGACTGGTGCAGGCTTGGGCTCGGTTCGAGAGCTCCCATGCCCGAGGGACTGTGCTACACCCGACGACGCACACGCACCCCTGGGCAGGCACCGAGGCCCTTACCCAGACATGCACGCGCGCCGATACAGGTTCACAACCTACGTACACTCGACGGGTCCCCTCACAAATCAGTCCACGCCTGCGGCTAAGCATGTTGCGCACCCCGCGCCGCGGGTCCATCGAGCCACAGTTGATGGGAACCCGCTCAGTTAGAGTGCTCGCTGGAGACGACGACGAACGCCCCAAGCAGCATGGCCACGACGGTCACCAGGCTGCCGTCGCAATTGAGCCCCAGCATTCCACTTGGCGCACTCGGCCCTCATCCCATCCGCTTGCGCATGCGGGTGACACCGGCATCATCGTCCCACCGGCTGCCAGCCCAGGGAGTGCACCCCAGCCCAGCCCCCGCAGCGACTCCTGCATGGGGAGCTTCAGGTAGAGGTCGTGCTCCAACCAGGTCTGGCGCCGCATGCCGTCGAGGCGGATCCGCGCCCGCAGGGGGCCTGCCCCGAGGAGCTCCCCCAGCCGCCCCTCACGCTTCCCGGACACCACGAGAATCCACTGCGTCTCGAACCCGCCCTGCCCCGCCTCGATTTTGTCCTTCATCATCTCCTTCTCCCTGGCTGCCGAGCCCGCCCGCGCCGTGGGCGCCGCGCCCCCGCGCTGCCGGTCCAGCTGCTTCACGGACTCCTCGTCATCCTTCTCCTTCCTCGGTTCCTCGTCCTGGTCGTCGTCTTCCCCGTTGGTGGCTGGGCCCACGAGCCGCGGGAACTTGGGGACCGTCCCTAATGCCTCCGCGGCCGCGAAGCAGCTGGTCGCGTAATCGCTGGGTTCATTCATGTCTTTTTCCCCCTGGCCGAGTTTCTTGGACTTCGTCGCCGAGCCCAGGGCCGCCGCCACCTCTAGCTGGGCCCCGACCCTCGGCACCACGATGCTTTCGGGGTTGGAAGCGAGCCGCGGGCAGCCTCGTAAGGCGACTGCAGAACGCCCCTGGGGAACACAGCCGACCAACGCAACTTATAGATTTTCGCGTTCCTTGCGACACATCTTCGAGGCGCCAATATAGGATTTTGTGGACGAGGTTCAAGTATCATTAAGCGTAGCGTGATGTATCACTTCGCTGATGTGGCGCCACAGCCGTGCGCTGCAGCACGCGCTATTGTACAACATCGCTGTCGCATGCCGTAGACTGGACAGGGTGCAAATCTTGGGGTCGTTTTGGCGCTGTCGTGTGCTGTCTTGGCTCTTCGGCCCGCTTGGCTGTGGCCTGGGTGGACTTGGCCCCCTCTCGAAGGTCAGACGAGATGTTCGGTCGCTAGTTGGGCCTCCTTGTTTATCGGCGACGCATGGCCAAACAGGATTGTATTGGGGCCCTCCTGAGCCGTTTGGGGGGGGGCCTCTTGGGGTTGTTACCGGCCGCCTTGCAACCGTTTGGGGCCCTCGCTGGGCTCCTCGGGCCTCCCTCCCACGCCCCCAGGCGCATTGGTTTGAGCCATCCTGAGTCGACGGGCTGAGGAATTCCACATAAAAACACAGAGTTGCCGCAACATTCTTATTGATCGTGGCCTTCCTGGACGCCCCCCCCGGTCTTCTCCCCAGTGTTTCGGTAGCTTCTCGGGCCTCCCTCTGGCGATTCCTGGGGTCTTTTTGGGGCCAGTCGGGGTGCCTCTTGAGGCAGTTGTGGGCCCTCTTGGCGGCTCTGGTAGTTTTCCTTGGCAATATTGGGCAGTGTGGGTATAAGGTTCCATCATCATCGTCGTCGTCACCATCATAGAGTTGGGTTTGGGCCCTCTTGGAGCCCTTTGGGGCCCTTTTGGAGCCCTCTTGGAACCCTCTTGGGGCCCCCTTCGAGCCCTCTGGGGGCTCCCAGAAAGTTTCCGAGGGACATCCGGGGAGGTGGAGGGGGGGTGGAGGGGGGGGAGGGGGAGGTGGAGGGGGTGGTGGAGGGGGGTGGTGGAGGGGTGGGTGGAAGGGAGTGGAGGGGTGGGTGGGGGGGTTGGGACGAACCCCAGGGGAGGGGCGAAAAGGGCGGGGGGGAGGAGGGGGGAGGGAGCAGGGGGCCACAGGGCCAAATGGAGCAGGGGAGCGGCGGGCCACGACGAGGCAGGGCGGGAAAATCCTGCCCCCCTGGCAGTTGCGCAGGGGGGGAGAGCGTGCCCCTTTGCTTCCTTCCATTCTTCCTTCCGGCCTTGCCTCCCTCCCTCTCTCCTTCTCGCCCCCCCCCTTCTGTCGATGGTCCGCCCTGCCCCTCCTACTCCTGCTCCCCTCCCTCCACGACCCTTCGACACGCCCGACCTGTGTACCTAGGCGGTGTTCCCTACGGCAGTATTGGTGGGCCAACGTACTGCGTCCGGGTAAACAGGTACAGCCTGTACCTGTAGAAGCAATTTGGCTTCTACAGGTACTGGCTGTACCTGTAGAACCAGTTTGGGGTAAACAGGTAGAGGCTGTACCTGTAGAAGCCGTTGTCCCTTCAGGTACTCCCTCGGGGTAAACAGGTACAGGCTGCACCTGTTTACCCCACTCGTTTGGTGTGTTTTTTCGAAGGGAAGGGGGGTAAACAGGTGCAGGTCGTACCTGTAGAAGCAGTTTGGCTTCTATAGGTACTGGCTGTACCTGTAGAAGCAATTTGGGGTAAACAGGTTCTTGCTCTACCTGTAGATTTGGCTTGCCTCCCCCCCCCCCGTGTAGTGGTCGACCTGTAGAGGTTGACGGGTGTACCTGGCCCCCCTGGTGGTCCATGTGGGTATGGCGAGCACGGGTTGGGGGGGCAGTCCAGGAGCCTCTGTGGGGTACCGAGCTGACCTTTGGCGCCCCCGTGCCCTGCTGCGCACGATTTGGGGGGGGGTCCGAGCACCAAAATACGGGGATTGCTGAGTCCTCCTGCGGGCCTCTGGGGGCCGCCCGAAGTGCGCCTCGACTGGATCTCCTTTGCAGGCAATTCAAGTCGATCGAAACACCGACGAGGAGGGTGGGAGGAGGAGGAGGAGGAGGAGGAGGGAGGGAGGGGGGGGGGAGGAGGAGGAGGAGGAGGAGAGAGGAGGGAGGAGGAGGCGGAGGAAGAAAATGGAGGTCCCCTGGAAGTTACTAGAGGAGATTTAGTAAGAGAGGGAATGAGTTAGGAGGGAGGGGCAGGAGAAATGCGAAGAGGAGGACGGGGGAGGGGAGAGCGTAGATCTCCCGTCAGCTTCGTCTCGGGCATTCTCGGAAGCACTAGTAGAAGGAAATCTTCGAGGGGGGACAAGATGTGCTCGCGGGCGTCTCAGAATTCTGATATTTTGAAGGGGGGAAGCGCACGGAAGAGGCGCAAAGCGCATGCAATGCTACCGGTTCTCACATGATGACAACAACGATGAGTTTGGGCAACAAAATCTCTAGTGCCTGGGGTTTCCGTTGGAGAGGTGGCGGGTTCCCCCCACGATTGCGGTACGTGTTTTCGGCCATGGCTCATTGGTGAGCCCCCCCATCGATAACCTCGCCCTCCGAAGAAAGGCCGTTGTACGCAATGTTCCGAGCTCCGTCGGGGTACTCCTGTGGTCGATGGGTCAGGCGCCTGGCCGGGCGCTCGGGCCTGGGTCGCAGTCGTGGCCGATTTGTGCTCGCCGCCCCTATCCCCTTCTTCCCCAGCCGCCTCGCCCCCCTTACATTCCCTTACATCCTTTCCCACTTCCTCCTCCACTTCCTTTTCTTTTTCTCCCTTCCACACCTTCCGTTGCCATTTTGGCTCAGCTCTTTACGGTTTATGGCCGATGCCCGGATCCATCGGGCTACATTGCAAAACAATATTGCACGGCCGGCGCAAGTCGACGCATGAGTCGTGCTCGGTCAAGCCGTCACCGATAGACCGTGCGACACGCCCTGTTCGGACGGTCGGTTTGGGGCGCCAGGCGGGCAGAAATTGCGTTTATATGGCCGCAACCTGAGGGCGCCCTGATTGCATGCGGCGGAGAAGTATCACAGCGTCGCCGAACGTGCAAGCGCAACACGGCGCGATTCCAGACGGCGCGGTGCCCGAGACGCGCAGGTCGTTCGGACGTCCACGCGAACCAGCAAAGAAGGTAAGTCACGCTGCCCAGCTTCCTTGCCCGCCCCTCTTTAGGGGCTTCTGCAGTCGCTGCCCCCTGTTCGCTTCAACGTCGGGGACGACCCCGCCGTTCCCTTCGACGACCCTGCCCACGCCGGTCTTACCCCTCTGTCAGCGGTTCGTTGGCCCACTCGTCCCCTTGCCGTGCTTCTCGACCTTCTGGGTCTCGATCTTCGGCTCATGGACGATGGGCTCCGCCTTCGCCGCGGACTCGGTCTCGCCGGGCCTGGGCCCGTAGTCGTGCACCATGGGCTCGCGTACGAGGCCGCCTTGCGTCTGCTCCCCCATCGCCTCGACAGCCGTCGCCGAGTCCAAGGCAGCGACCCTCTCGACCGCGGCCTTCACGTGGCCCTGCTGCACAAACTCGCCGTTCTTCACCTCGCCGCTGCTCTCAGTCATCTCGCCACGAGCGCCCCGATGATCGCCGCCCGCATCCACTCCGCGAGCGTCGCGACGGTCGTCCGCTTCCACGCCCAGGAGAGCCGCTTCAGAGCCCTGCGCGAGTTCCTTCAAGCGCCTCCTGGCAGCCCAAGCCGCAGCTCTGGCCTCCATGAGCTGATCCGCCAGCTCGGGGGCCAGGTTCGCCTCCTCGGTCACCATCCAGAGGTGCAATGCATTCTCCTCGATGTCCTGCACCTCGGCCTTCTCATGAGGCACGTCCCGCTCGTTCGCGTTCTCGCCCTCTGCGTCGGCCTCCGCGGCCGCGGGCGCCAGGCGGATCTCCACGTCGGGCCTCTACACCTGCCCCTCCTCCTTCTCCTCCTCCTCCTCCTCCTCCTCCTCCTCCTCCTCCTCCTCGACCACTGCGTCGAGGTCGCCGATGAACACCTCGAGGGGGGTGGGGGGGGGCGCGCCGCTGCGGCCCGTGCCCCGCAAACCCCGCGGTCGCGCCGCTCCAGCAGCGCCAGCGCGCTGGCGATGAGCCGTTCCCCAAGCAGCTGCGAGCGGAGTTCCAGCACCTGTCCTGCGCCCAGTTCCAAGCGCGCCACCAGCCCCACGCCGCGCACCTCGGGCATGGGAGCGGCCGCCACCGGGCCACAGCTGCTCAGCGCCCGCCCATGACGTCCTGCGTAGCACACGAGGCCTCTTGGGGGTCCCCTGGGCTGTGCTTGGGCCAAATGGCTTGAGCTCAACTGGCTTGAGCCAAAATGGCTACGGAGGAGGAGGAGGATGAGGGCGAGGGGAGGGGGGAGGGGGAGGGGGAGGAGGCGGAGGAGGAGAAGGAGTAGAAGAAGGATAAGGAGGAGGAGGAGGAGGAGGAGGAACAGGAACAGGAGGAGGAGGAGGAGGAGGAACAGGAGGAGGAGGAGGAGGAGGAGGAGGAAGTGGTATTCTCTCACACGCTTCCCTGGTCTGGCTCCCTGTGGGAAGCTTTAAAAACCTGCAGGAATGTTGAGGACACTTGGGGTCCACACGAAACCCCAGGCGTCTGAAGGAACCCCCAGGAATCCTCAGGAATCCTACAAGACCTTCCAGGAATCATGTAGGAGTCCTCCAGGGATCCTCGGGAACCTTCAGGAACCGTCAGGATTGCTGTATAACTTTCTAGGACCTCGAAATATCAGGGGAGGGAAATGCAGGGGGGGCGTGTAGGGGCATCTGTTGCTGGAAGTTGCCCTGGTTGCCGCGTGGCACGTGCTGCAGGCAACGCGCCCCCTCGCTGCGCGACTGCAAGCGGTAAGAAAAGACAGCGAGAGCACATGAGGTAGAAGACAACCGAACCCAAGACGGCCCAAGAGAGTCCAAAACGGCCTAGCTCAAGACAGCTCACATGGCCAATTTGATTTAGAACGGCCTGTACTTGAGGCGGCCTGACCTTCAGGACGCCCTTGGAATCTTCATGAAACCCCGGAACCCTACGGCGCCCTTAGGAATCCTGCCGGGGACCGGCAGGAATCCATCCGTAATCTTTCAGGTATCATCAATACAGAAACCATCAGGAATCCGCCAGAACCACCATAATCCAGAAGTGTGTATCCGGTTTCCTTACGGATTTCTTGTAAGATCTTCCCAAGATGTGTTCAAAGTCCTTCAGGAATCTCCAGGAATCCAAAGGAAACTTTCGGAACTCTCAGGAAATCTCAGGAGAAGTTCGTTAACAAGCACCGAAATCCCGTACCTCCAGGGTTCCGCAGGAGTCCTCAGGAATTCTCGGGACCGCGAGGTGGACGGATCAACCCAGCGTGTTCTCGATTCCATGCGCGTTGTTTTGAGTGCCGTGTTGAGACGGCTCGGATGTAAAACGCCATTGTTTGCGGTTGGAGGACAAGGCAGTGATTGACGATTTTGAGAGTGATGCGTTCACGCTCGCAGTGCATCAGCGCCATCAACCTCATCCTCCTTTGCCCCTCCTCCTCCTTTGCTACTTCTCCTCTTCCTTCCTCCCTTAATCTATTGGGGAGTTCCGTGGTCCAATGAATGGGCATGTCGTCAATTCGTCCAGAGGGGGAAGGCGAAGGGAGGAGGAGGAGGAGGAGGAGGAGGAGGAGGAAGACAAGGAAACGTGACCTGCACGGCCGCGTTGTGCTAACGATGTAAGAATGATCCCAGAAGGATTCCTGCAGATTCCGGCGGGTTCCCGAAGAATTCTTCGAAGATCCTTGCAGGATTCTCGACGTGCTTCTGACGGTATACTTTGGTTTCTGGTGGATGATTGACGAGTCTTGCAGGGTGCGTGAAGGATTTCTGAGGATTCTTGGTGGATGTTTGAAGATTCTTGATCTGGCGGTTGCTGTGGGATTCGCGAGGATCCCTGAAGACTCGAAAGGATTCCTGCTGAGGACTCTTGCAGAGATCTTCAGGACAGCAGCAAGATTCTTGAAGGGTACCTGAGGACTACTGGCGGGCCCTGAAGGTTTCCTGAAGATTCTTGCAGGGTGCGTGCAGGGTTCCTGAGGGTTCTTGGCGGACTCCTGCTTGATGTTTGCAGATTCTTCAACGAGTTCTGGCGCTTCCTGTAGAATTCGCGAGGGTCCGTACGGATGCCTGAAGGCTCCTGTTGCGGACACTTGAAGATTCTCGAGGAACGCAGAATTATCCTTGACTGGTTCTTGAGGGCTTCTGCCGATTTCTGCAGGGTGCTTGAAGGATTCCTTAGGGCTCCTGACGGGTCCCTGGTGGATGTTAAGATTTTTGGAAGTTTCCTGGCGGTTCCCAGAGGATTCGCGAGGATCCCAGAGGATTCTGGAGGATTTCTGCTGCGGGCGCCTGAAGGTTCTTGAGGAACGCAGAGTAATTCCTGAAGGGCTCTTGAGGATCCCTGCCGATACCAGAAGAATTCCTGAAAGTTCCTGCGGGTCCCTGAAAGGTTCCCGAAGATTCCTGAACAGTCGGTGCTCTCCCCCAGGAATGAATTGATTGATGGGGTGCAAACGATACCGCTCGGCGGTCCCCCCTCGCCTTCGGGATTTTCTTTTGAGTGTTCGGTATGACGGGGGGAGATCGACTACGTGTTCCCATGGTTATGTTGTGACGCCTTGGGAGACAGGCCCAGCTAATCTTGAGCCAGAGTGCACACGAACCGCCTCTGCAACGTAGCGAGATCCGCCGCATGTTGAAAAAGACGTGCGCTCATCCCACTGTCTCAGTCGAAATTGAGTTGTTGCTCCACTTGCGGCAGTCCCGCAATTTTTTGAGGCGGGCGGGCGGGGCGGGGTGAGAACGACGAGGGAGAGGATGTGGACGAGGAGGGATAGAATTGTAAAGAGGAGGAAGAGGAGGCGGAGGAGCAGAACGAGGACGAGCATCATGGTCTTGATGATGACAACAACCACCACGACTATGACGATCATGACCACGATGACGATGGCAACGATGGTGAACATTATGGTAGCAAGGAGGCGGAGGATGATGAAGAGCATCAGCTCGAGGGCTCTTCTGGCGACAGCGGCGCACATTGTACCAGGTGTCGCCCATGCGTAAGGATTCCATCATGAACTTGTCAGGCACTGGCTCTGGCCGTGCTGCGGGATGCTGCAGGCCTGCACGCGCAAAGCACGGACGATGAGGAGGCCGTGATTGGACACCTTGACAAAACAGTGTCATTGCCATGTTCCTTGCACTCTCTGCTTGCCGCCCAGCCCTTCGTGAAGCTCCTGGACGGCGGGGAAGAGGGGGAGTTCTTCTCTGACATGAAGGACATCCGTTGCCGCGGTGCAACACCAAATCCACTGTGAGTCCGCGGGCTCGCTCACAGTGTGCCAAGCAGGGGCGGCACTGCCGTCGATGCGATTGTCTGGGGGGGACAGGAAGAGGAGGAGGAGGAGGAGGAGAAGGAGGAGGATACCACGTTTACAGTGCCGCACCCCATCTGTGCCAGCATCTTTCTCGGTCGCTGCTGCGCCTGTTGGCCTACCAGCTTGTTCGGCCTTCTCGGGTATCTCAGCCTTTCGAGATAATTGCCATGCCGTTGCAGACGCTGTTGTAATCTATATACCGGTGCATGTGCATGAGGAGACGCATATCAGGCATATATGTTTTGATGGCTTCACGATGGGAATGGTATTCGTTTTGAACTGCACCGCTCGCTCTCACACGCGTGCAAAGTAAGCTCGAAAGGAAGTGAAACATGCCATCTCCCACTCGTGTTGCTAACCGCTCAGCTTGAACGTGTGGCGACCTGGGCTGAACCAAGGGATGCAAGCATGGCAGGCTTTAGTTGTCCTGAGACGCTGGTTGCTTCCACCAAGTGTGCGCCGTTGATTCCGGGGACAAGTTCTTCGAGTGGATCGCCAGAATATCCAATCACGCTCAGCGATGTTGAAAGTGCAATGCTGTTTGCGATTGGTAGCTGATACGATCTCGCCCCGCATGCCTTTGTGTGCGTTGTTTTGTCTGCGAAGGACTACTTCTACTATTCACAGATTAGGTCCCAGGACGAGAACACAACAAAGGCGCGCGTATTGGATGGGATGATCCCCGTGGAGGACATCGCCGGCTTTCTCCTCTCCGCATCACGTGCAGCAGAGTGCAGCCAGTAGCCGCAGCTAATAAGTTAGAGAGACGTGCACCAGCTGGCCACGAAGCGATTTCTGGGGAAGCGTCGCCGAGAGACGTCGCACACGCGTGAGGGGAGGAAGGCGGGCTCAACCATCCTCCCCCCCTCCTCCGCACCCCTCTCCCCGCGTTCCAAAACTTCTCCCCCTTTTCCTCTCTCGCGTTCTGCCACTCCTCTCCCCCTTGTCCTCCCTTCTCCCCCCATCCTCTGATCTCACAGGTTCGTTGGCTCTTGCTTTGCTCGTCTGCCTGAGGCCTCCAGCTCGGACGGACGCGCTGGGGCACAGACCATGTTCCCTCACCCCCTCCCTTTCTTGTTCCATCCTCCCCTTCCCCTCTCCTGTCTCATCTCTCCCCCTCCCGTTCACCTTCACCGCCTCTGTCACTCCCACATTGCCGCTCTCCCTCTCCTACCCCCCCTTCTATCATCCCCGTCCTCCTCCATGCCACTTCCCGTTTCTCCCTCCCCGATCCATCCCACCTTCCCACCACCCATCTCCTCCTCCCCACTCCCTGTATCTCCCGCTCCCTCCCCTCTCTCTCTCTCTCTCTCCCCTCCCCTCTATCTCCCATCTCTACTCCCCATGCCCTCCCCTCCTCTCCACCTCCTTCCTCTCTCTCTCTCTCTATCTCCGCTCCCCTCTATCTCCCCTCTCTACTCCCTCCGAACACCTCATTTCCATCCACCCCCAGAGCCCCCACTCTCTATCCTTGCCAGGGCCCAGGAGGAATGGTTAGAGGGGTGGTCCACCGACGGCCGCCGACGGCCGCCGCAGCCGCCGCAGCCGCCGCTTCGCCACCACCCGACGCATTTGCCAGGCTCGCTCCTCCAGCTTGCGGCCGCTCGCCTCTCTCGCCTCGTCACTTCGCCACCCGCTCCTCGCCGCCTCGCTGCCGCCGCGCTCGCTGCCTCGCTCGGCTCCTCGCCTCGCTCGCCGCCCCGCTCCACCTTGGCTCGTCGCCGCCTCGCCTCGCCGCTGTATTCCCCACCCCCCTCCCTCTCGCCCTCGCGATCGCCGCCGCCCCCCCCCGCTCCCGCCCGCGGACCCTGTCCGTCCACGCGCCCGGCCTGCCTCGCCATCCCCCTTTCGGGCCCCCCTGTCCGACGGTTCTCTCCGAGGCTGGAGCTTGCACGCATCCACCGCCTGGGGCACCGACGCCCCAGAACCCCAGGAGACAGTGGATATGGAATTCTCGGGGGCAGAAAATATCCGTACGTACGCACTGGCTCTTGGGGCCCCATCAGGCGGCGGGTGCGTAGAAACTCCGGAGTCGGAGCTTTATCTCCACTCTTTTTGTTGACCCCGGAAGCCAGGACAGGGCAAACCAGCATGTTGCCCGATCCAGCGGGAGAAAGTGGAGCATGGACACTGGTTCGACCCACGGTTGCAATGTGTTTTTTCTCGGGCGCGCTTGTGTCATGGTTTACCGAACTCCCTGTTTGCCCGGCCCAGGTCCATTTCCAGGCCTTCTCCCCCTTTGCCCTGGATCGCCATCATGTCTATTCCATTTGTCCCCCTCTCTGCTGCTGCATTCTTCGATGCGACCGTGGACCCCGAGGAGATTCCCCACTTGATGTGCGCCCTGGGGTACTTCCCAACACAGCTCGAGATCAAAAATATGACGAACGAGGCTCGCGAGATGCCGTCGCTGGATGCTGATTGCCTTCCGCAAGCGGATTGCTAAGGCCTTACGGCCAGTACCGCCGACCCTGGAGGCCTCGGCCCTCGACGGAAATGGGAGGGAGAGGGCGCTCCCGACACGCCCTGGGAGGGTGGCCTTCTGACCCGGGGCCACTCCCCGGGACCACCCCCCGGGACCACCCCCTGGGACCTCCCCCCCGGGACCCCACCCCGGGGACCCCCCGCCGGGACCCCCCCCCGGGACCTCTCCCCCACCCCTCCGCGGGGAAGGGATCAAAGGGAAGGGGCTTCTATTCGACTCAATGACAACGTTGCTAAATTTCGCTGTGGATGGGCTTGTGTATTTCGCTCTGGCTGGCGTGCTTGAGGACGAGGGCCCAAGGAAAGGAAGGGAACGGCGACGGACTCAGGGGAAGGAGAGGACGTGATGGCGGCGGCGACGCTACGGCGGCAGCGACGGCGATGGCGACGGAACAGCCCCTTTCACACGCCGACAGGGTCGGCGGATTTGTATTCAGATCGAGGCAGTGGGAGAGAGAGAGAGAGAGAGATAGAGAGCGAGAGAGAGACAGAGATGGGAGAGAGAGAGAGAGAGAGACAGGATGAAGGGAGAGAGGGAAAGAGGGAGAGAGAGAGAGAGAGGGATAACAACACAATACAGAGAGAGAGAGAGGTAACGGAGAGAGAGAGAGAGAGAGACAACGAAACAACACTCACACATACGCGCGAGCCGCTGGGCTGCTCCCTGTGTCGGGATTATGCGTGTAGGTACCAGTTCGCGCGATTCCGCCACGTCGGGTGGGGGACGCCTCGGGGGCGGGGTGGCCCCTGGGGGAACAGGTGCCATCTTCTGCCGGGGGCGCGAATAACGCAGGGACAGTGCCCAAAACGCGAACGCCTGTTGGGCTCGGTGTGTCGGGGAATATATTGCTTCGCAAGAGCAAGAACAAACTGACAAGCAAGGGGCCCGACAGCACACACACACACACGCCAACGCTGCGAGCGAGGTGTTTGAGCCCCGTCGCTGCGCCTCTTTCCTTGCACCTCTTGCCGTTCAGGTGCGGTACTCCAAGTTCAGCGAGACGGGCGAATACGTGGACCGCATCGCATTCGAGGCGGGGATGAGTTTCGCTCCAGTCTTAGAACGAGTCTTGCGCGGTGCGCTTCCGATGGCTCCCATACACTTCAGGCGTGCTCTCCTCAGCCTGCGTTTGAGCAGGCAAGTGCGAGTCGGGAGGGGTGGGGGAGTGGGGAGAAGGAGGGAAGGGTGAACGAGGATAGGGAGTAAAGGGAGTGAGAGGAAGTGGATTTGGATTGTGACGGGGAAGGGAAGAGGGGCGAGGGAGGTCATGTAGGGAGGAGGGAAGGAGGGAGGCGATGGCCGGGGGGGCGGCTGAAGAGACTTGGGAGGGCGTTCCTTGCGGTAATAGCTTAGTAGTTTGACTGTAAAGGCAAACCCCTTTATGAGCATGAGCTAGCTTCCCACTTGTATCCTTGCATCTTTGCCTCTTCGGCTCATGCTTCTCCACCTTCGTGCGCCAGCCCCTCAAGGTACCCCTGGAGCTAGGCTGCACGGGGCCACGCTCCTTCGGGGAAGAGTCCAGGATGGGCAGGGTTCCCTTGGCCATCCCTTGCCGCGTCGCCCTTGTCCTCCAACTTTTTGCTTGGCCTCCGCAGCGGCGGCCGCATGTTCGACGCCGCGCCGCGCGTGCCTGGCTCGCGGGCTGTCACGATTCCCAGGCGCGCGAAAGACGCGGGCGAGGTGAGGCGCGTGACGCCCCCTGTCTAATGTCGGGTCCTTGACCGCCCTTTGCAGGGCACCCCTCGGACAGTGCTCTCGAGCTCGCAGCCCACGCCGGGCCATCCATCCCCCCGCGCGCCACTGGACGGCAGTACCTCCCTTCAAAGAGGCGGTCCTTCCGACCAAAGCGAGGTGCAAGCGATGGTCCGCGCTCGTGGCCAGCTGAGAGAGGGATGCAGCAGGAGCCAGAAGACGACATCCGCGCAGTGTTCTTCTCAATGAGGCGACGAGGGATGGCGATCCAACCATGGCACGTATACCAGTTACAAGCAAAGCACTGCAAGACCACCAGGGAGACTTCAGCATGCCAGCATCCAGTCTGTTTATACTGTACCCCACCTGTGTACAGCGAGTGGAATGGCCTCTTCGTGAAATCACTGGCACCCCATTTCCCAAGCAGTGGCTGCACTTGTGACTCTCATTTTCTTCCGAAAACATGGGGTGGGCCTTTCCATATAAATCCACACCAGCCCAGCCAAACCTTGCCAACGAATACTATGTTCACAAGCTCGTTCATCTCAAACAGCATTTGTTTCAGAAATCCTTGTGCACAAATGTATAGTCCACACGCGCGCGCGAACATATCGAAATCCTACCAACGACACTAATTCTCCAAGCAGTTCACCAGAAACGCATCACACTGGTAGGTGTCTTGCCCTCGCGCATGTGCTGAACAGATCACCACGTCCTGACCAAGCAGGTTTCGATTCGCAGCGCAGTCAACAAAAAAAACCACTCATTTGTTTCTGTTATCTTGCACTTGAGCACGAGTTCTGACAGGTGAATCAACGCGAGAATTTGCTGATCCAACCCGGCTTCGCACCGCAAGCGCGGATTACAAATCTTCGTTTTTGCAGACGAGGTCGTGCTTTACGTCCCGAACCTACGGCAGCTCTCCTTCCTACTCCGAGATGTTTAATGGCAAGCAAAAGCGTGTGGTCTGACGTTGCACCCAGACAAGACCAAGATCCTGACGCACGTAATCCGGAGGGAGGGGGAACAGTTACGCAGTCAGTTTGGTACCAATGGCGAAATATTTGCATTCCGACCAGAGTACGAAATATCTAGGAAGGAAGCTAACCTTTGGCGATCCCCACCGCGCAGAGCTACGCAATTGGATTGCTGCAGGACGGGGACGATTCAAGCGATTGCGCTACAAGCTGATGAACAAGCGCTTCCCGCTCCGCAAACGATTGAAGCTCGTCAACGGCATAGTAACAGCATGGGTGATGTACGGATGCTCCTTGTGGACCCTCACCAAAAATATGTGTCATATTTTCAACGTGCACAGCGCAGAATTGTCAGGCCTGTAGTGGGATTACCACGGAATCGCAATCTACTAACCAGACCCACACCGCAAACAACCCTACCCAACACGATCGAACCAACGAGATCGAAGAGGATGCGTTAGACGCAGATCGACGCTCACAGCCCTGGAACGTGCACAGCATGCAGGTATGGAGGGCTGGACAAAGACTTATTTCGAGCGAAAATTAGCTTTGGGCATCGCGTGTCGCACCCTTCGAGTATGACAGGTGGACGCGGCTCTCTGGACGGCTCCCGACACCCACGATCGACACCCAGCCCAACGACGTCATGGAGGGCAACGGAACAAGTGGGATGACAATATCATCCAATTTCTGCGCTCGATAACTGCGCGCAGCGGTGATGACGACCACACAACATGGATACGCACGGAGACCGACATTAAATTATAGACGGTACTGGGGCCGAATTTTTTGCCGCACGCCCACGTTGGGGAATGTGTGTGCAACAGACGGGAACAACGATACGTCAGAGCGATTCGGACAGGTGGTTCTTTTCCAACTCCAGCTCTTGCTCCTGCTTCTGCGGATCCCATGTCCTCCAACTCCGGCGCCTTCTGGCTCCTACCTTCGTGCGCCTACAGGTGAGAATTCCCAGAAAGATGAGCACCCAGAGAAAAGGATGATGAGGAGAGAGGTGGATGAGGATGACGAGGAGAGGGATTCAGGGGATAGGAAAAAAGGATGACGCCGGAGGGCCGAGGGAAGATCGAAGGCGGGATAAATGGAGTGCGAAAGGGCGTGCGAAGTGGAGGAGGAATGCAGGAGCCATGAGGGACCTCTTCCTTCTCCTCTTCCTTCTCCTCTCCTTCTCCTTCCGTGCTTCTCTTCTCGCCCGCCCTCCTCCGTCCGATTCCCCCGGCTCGGGCGCCAGGCGCTTGTGAAGCTGTACGTGAACCATCGCCCCGTGTTCGCCGTCGGGCCTGATCAGATTCAGCAGGCATCTCCCGCCGCGGCAGCTGGAGACTTACGGCGCCCCGATCCGATGCTCTATGTCTACGCGCTTCCAATTCTTACGTCCTCTGACCAGTGCTGGCGCCATCGATACTGTTCGAAAAAGGCCCCAGAGCTTTCCACGAGGGCCGATCACGTTGCCACGAGTCCATAATATACGACAATACGGCCCACGATGGCTTTCAAGACGGCCTCTAGATGGTCACAAGACGGCTCAAGACCGCCCCAAGATAGTACCAGAAACACCCTGATGTTGGCTCTCCACACCCCCAAACGGGCCCCGCGAGGCTGGTTGTACTCGAGGACGACCCGCAGAGACCGTCCGAGTCCCAAGAGCGTCCCCAGAGGGTACCAACATAACCCCGAGAGGGCCCTGAGAGGGCCCCGCGACGGGGCAAGCCATTGATGTCGCGACGGTCGTTAATGGCAGCGATGCGAGCAGTTGGCATTACTCATATGTAGTCTTACCGCCCTCTCCACGTTCTTCTCTATTCCCTCCCCCTCTCCACATCTCCCCATTCCCCCTCCCTCACAATCCATCCGTGCAGGTCCATCTCCCCACATCCCGATCCTTGTTCCTTATTGTTTATTATTATATACCCCCACCTACCTCGTATTCCGGCCGATAGCGACCCAATCCGGGACCTCCTATCCGGATTTAAAAAAATCAATACAAAATGGCAGTTTTTCTTCTCAACATCGTCTTTCTTGTCGTCGACGATGCGAAAAGCGTGGCAGGAATGGGACGCGGCGCACATCGCGCGCGGCAGTCAATCTGGGCCCGCCCACCCTGACTGTAAAAAACAATACAAGGTCTTCGTTTTTTCCTCTCAGCATGGCCTGCCTTGTCGCCGACGGTGCGAAACATGTGGCAGGAATGGGACGCGGCGCACATCGCGCGCGGACGTCCATGCGGGCTGCGGGCCCTCCCATCCTGACTAGTGTTACTAGTGCCATTGGTACGACTACTATTATTATTACTACTACTACTACTACTACTACTCCTGCTACTACTTGTTCTGCAACTTGTACTCCCAAAGGCATTACTACTAGTCTAGCAGTCGTACAAGTATTACTAGCACTTCGACTTCCACATTGCTACTACTCTGTGCCACTACTCGTACGAGTACTTGTACTACCTGTAGTACTTCTGCTTATACTACTCGTATTATTACTCTTACTACTAGTACTACTACATATTCGTATACCCACTGTGCTACTACTACTACTACTACTACTACTACTACTACTACTACTGCCACTAGCACTACCACTACTAGTACTACTACTACAACTACTCGTACTACTACTAGAACTACTACTACTACCACTACTACTACTACTACTACTACTACTACTACTACTACTACTACTTCTACTACTATTAGTACCACTACTGCTACT